GACGTCAAATTTCGAGTCATCCCCCATCACACCGCCGTGCCTTCCAATCGTAAATCCCAGTAACTATAGTTGGATAATGTTGGATATATCATAATTACATATAATTACCACAAACCCAACTCAGCAAAAAATGCGTGACATAAACCAACTCAGCGATCGATCGCGAACACGTCTTGTACCGTCTCATACCGTCTCCGTTAACGCGCAGCATAGCGCAGCTCCTCGTTTTTGATGTCAAGGCTAAGATCCTTCTCTTTCAGCAAGGAGTTGACTTCCAAGGTCAATTCACCTGTGCACCCGGAGAATCGCTGAGGAACCAACAGTTTTTTGAGGTTTTGTGGTTTGCCTACGATGTGCGTCCATCAACTAGGTCAACTGGGTGTAAGTGGATTATAAATGATTATAAGCCATAGAGAAATCCCATGGGATATCCCAGTTATCTATTAATCCATGATATATAACTGATTCAAAGCCATTATAAGCCATGGATAACTGGATGATAGGATTTAACTCACGATATCCCATGAATCGGTGGCAACCACCCAATGGTGCCCCATGAGTTAGGTCACAAACTTGGCGAACAAACCGGGGCCTAAGGTAGCCCTACATTAGCCTTAACCCTGGGGTTGGTTTAAGGTAGCCCTAGTCTATCTATATCATCTATCAATCTAATCGATGTATCTCCTTTATCGCACCTATCTCATATACATGTACACAGCCTATATTCAAAGGCGATTTTTTGAGGTATCCCCAAAAAAAGATTGAAACGTGAAGCCCTATACTAATGACGTAACCCCATGTAACCCCAATATTGATCTCGCATGTCTTGATGGTGAATAGCTACCCATTTCTGGTGGTAGTGGTGATGGTTTCGTATTGGCTTTACCAAATCATGTTGAACCATACATCAACCAATACTAAACTGTAGTAAACCATGTATAGTTAGACCAAAACATACCAAAACCATGTATGGTAGATGGTTTACCAAATTAGTTTGATGGTCATTCACTTTCATCAAATTATTTGGTAAACCATCTACCAAACATGGTTTTGGTAAACCAAAACCATGGTTTTTGAAGACCAACCGTCAACCTTCACCAGCGACACCACCGTCCATCGGCCTAGTTGATGCGTGTCCGTCTTGTCGAAGTCCGACACCGAGTTGAACGTCAAATGGATCTGGCCGTGCCGCATGGCAGAGACAGTGCGACCGTCAGGTACACATCATGTACCCTCTGGTAAACTAACATAACTATGGAAAATCACCATTTTTAATGGGAAAATCCACTATAAATGGCCATTTTCAATAGCTATGTTAAATTACCAGAGGGTAAACTCCGGAAAAGTGTGGATGTGACCCTCTGGAACATGAATACAGAACAAAGACCCGGGGAATGATCTGCAAATGGGACGTGTTTTCCAGAGAGTGTCTATATGTTGTACCCTCTGGTAAACTAACATAGCTATTGAAAATGGCCATTTATAGTGGATTTACCCATTAAAAATGGTGATTTCCATAGCTATGTTAGTTTACCAGAGGGTATCTTTTTTCGAGGGATGTGTTTTATCATGTAAAATTATGACGTATGACACGACCATGTTTTGGGAAGATGATCCATGTTACGCCGTGAAATCCCGCTGCTAAGCTGATACGCCGTTACTGCAGACCCTTTGTATTGCTGGTGTTTTTCCATGGCTATGTTTCCGCACTTTTTCAGCAGACCGATTTTTTTTTGGAGGCAACCAACCAATCCCTGGAGCCCCCCGGTTTGAACCGCCTTGGTATTCCTGGGATCGCGCACCCAGAAACGGAAGCCCTGATCAAAGGTGGCCTGGGAGAACTGAGCCAGTCATGGTTGAGTACCAGAGGGTAACATGATTGAAGGGATTGAAGCCTGAAAAAAATAGGATGAAAGAACATATTAGATAGATAAATAGATAGATAGATCGATCGATCGATAGATCGATAGATAGATAAGAAAAGAAAAGATAAGATAAGATGAGATATGATAAGATAAGATAAGATAAGATATGATAAGATAGATAGATAGATAGATAGATAATATAAGATAAGATAAGATAATATAAGACAAAATAAGATAATATAAGATAAGATAAGATACGATAAGATAAGATAAGATGAGATTAGATTTGATTTGATTAGATTAGATGAGATAAAATTAGATAAGATAAGATTGATAGATAGAGAGATATACCAGCTAAAATCTTGAAAAAGGCTATGTATAAAATAATTCAAGCATCAAACATGCGATATTGTGATAACTGATTGACGTGATCTTAGTTGGAACCCATGACAAACATGGAGGATTCTCAGCACGCACCCGAAGCATCTTGAGCTTTGTCAAAATCTGGCTTTGCGACAGGTTGTCTTTGACCATTAAAAAAATCAGGATTTAGACATGTTTACTCTATCTATGTATGTATATATATATATATATACATATGTGTAATGTAATGTAATGGAATGTACAGTAATGCAATGCAATGCAATGCAATGCAATGCAATGCAATGCAATGTAATGTATGTATGTGTAGATACCCAGAAAGATAGCTTAAAAGTAATCCATCACAGTTTCAGGAAAAAATGTGACTTTTCCATCGAGCTGGTGCCCTATGACCCATTCCCAACGACGTTGCTTCAAGATGCCACTTTGCAAGCTCGGCCCATACGTCCACCCGTCATCCTGCGCTGTGAATAAGTCTGGTGCGTTTTTCCCGCACTTGGGAAAAGCATTTGAAAAACATCCAAAAACAGGTCTCCATGAATCCATCAAATGGAGGAAAACCCATTGGCAACGCATTGGAAAACCCATTTTGGGGGAAACCCATTGGAAAACCCATTGGAAAAACCCATCGACTCTCCTGCTCACCATTTCGGTGCGATCCCTGGCCGCTGCGATGCCATGCAAAAAGAGACCGGACTTTCACCATGCAAAAATCAGCGGCCATGAATGATGGGATTTATGGATTTTTAAGGATTTATATGGATTTTTATGGATTTCTATGGATTTATATGGATTTTTATGGATTTATATGGATTTATAGATGTTTCTCCCGAAAATATGGTCATGGATTGATAGCTAGCCATATTTGGACCAGTGTCTTGTTCCAAGCGTCAGCCTTTTCTACTCCAAACGTCATCAGCAGAGAGTGTCCAAGAGTTCTTGATTCGACCAGAACCGTGATATGGCTCCAAACCATTTGCCCAGCACTGGATGGTGAGGTAATCCATTGTCAGATCCTTAAAACCGATTGGTACCACTGGTAAACATTGTGGTACGCTTAAGTTTCTGAACTACCAGCTAGCAATTGATACTTAAAACCTAGTGATTACCCTTTGTTTTTTAACGTAGCCATGGAAAATCACTATTTTAATAGGTCAACCATCATAAATCATCGAACCAATTGAACCATATTCCATAGCTATGTTAAAACAACCAGATGGTAAATCCATCTGTTGGGCTAAGGGGCTATGGGTACGCCCAATGTGTGGACCTGCAGCTGTGAGGGAGTCTTCCCTCCTGTAAAGGATTAGATGTGGAGAACCCACCCGCTGTAGACTGTAGATCATTCTGCTAAGGAAACCATGGGTTTTCCACATCTTTCTGTCAGTTTAAGGGTAACTATATTGCCATCATTGTGTATATCAATAGATCCCTACGAATGGGGGAAAAAAAAACCATGCTTTCTTCGCAACCAAACCATGCTAGCAGACCATGGCGCTTCTAACCTAACCCGAACACAATGTGAGTATACTTCAGAGGCTTTCCATAGTCATGGGGGCACCCTAAAATCGATGGTTTATGTTATGGAAGATCCCAAAAATGAGCTACCTCCAATACATATCCCTTACATAGACCTTTTTGGTGGCAGCCCAAATGGATAACTAGGGGTACCCCCATTTTCCGAAACGGAAACCTCCATATTTTTAGCTCCCAACCACTGATCCACCATGGTCGTCTTGGGGCTCCCAACTCGTTCTGCTGGTGCTGCGCGTAGACCTTCTTGGACACCACTGCAGAAACACCGTCCTGGCCAGGATCATCCCAGGGTCGATTTTAGTGATACAAAATCAGCTTAGTTAACCGCAGTTCATCCATTTATAGAATATCCAGAAAAATATCCAACACTTAGCCATAGCCTATATATGCCATGGGATATATTTATGGATGGACTATCCCATTTATAGATGGAATATCCATAAAAAATATCCAACACTTAGTAGTTACCCTCTGGTAAATTAACATAGCTATTGAAAATGATCCAGTCGAAATAGTGGATTTACCCAGCTATAAAATTGTGATTTTCTATCGTCGTTAGTTTACCAGAGGGTAATAGCCATAGCCGCCATAGTCGCCATATAGTCCATCCATGTATATTGAGATAAGGATCTTCGGAGGTTGAAGCAAAATCCCCACGGCTGTCATGGTGTCACTTACTGGGCAGCAAAGCAATGGAATATGGTTGTATAATAGAGTATATCATGTTGTTGGTTGTATATCCCAGTACATATGTATTATAAAATAATGATGTAATTTATAAGCCATTGTAATACATAGCTTTATATATGGCTGGCTTTATATATGTTGGTTATAGTATTATAAGCCATTGTATTTTTTCCCATTATATCATATATGGATGGCTTTCAAACCCCCAGTTCTGTCTGGTAAATCGCCAAAAAACGACTCATCAAGCAAGCAGTCCACCATGATATCCGAAAAATATCGAAAAATGAACCCCCATTGTATCTGTGGTGATGGAAATGCCACTACACTTTTTGTGCCCCCCTTTTTCCTTTTTTGCAGTTGGAATCGGAAGCTGTAGCGCTTCATTGTCCTAAGGGATACAGAGAAGATTAGCATGGCACCTGGCAACTTGACTTGCCGATCGTAATGCGTGGCTCAAGAAAAGGGCCTTGCTGCTGACGCAGGGCTCCCCGGTTGCTCAGGTTATGAGCCCAACTTGACCCGGGTGTTGCCATGCTGTCCACCATGCGGCGCCGAAATTCGAGGCCGAGGGAGGGGGACACGCAACATGGAGCACCTCAACGTGAAGATCAAGCTCGCGGTCCCCCTCCCCGGCGTGGTGAAGAACGTCTGGAAGTTGGTGCAGCCGATAGAAGGTTGGATGCGCTGATAGAGGAGGAAAGGGGTCGAGCTGTTTCCCTTCCAGCTGGGCCAGGTGTGAAGCGGTTGGAAGTGGCAGGAGGGAGAGCTCAATCGAGCCAACAAGGCCAACTGATGGGGCAGCTGCAGGGTCCAGTGACGGGACCACAGCCAGTGCCAGATGCGCTGAGTGACCCCAGGGCAGAGGCGATGGGGTTGGGAGCTCTTCAAGATGCGGTTCGGCATTCTTTTGGACTATTGCAACAAGCACTTGGACGTCCAGTTCCTCAGCAAGGTCTACTTGGTCCTCTTCTTGGGGGAAGCGATTCTGGAGCCAGACATGGAGTCGTTCCTAATACCGGAGGGGGTCCATTGCTTTTTGCATCGCCAGGAGCTGTGCAGAGTTCTCGTGGTGCAGAAGGGGAACGTTCGGGACACCTTGAAGGCCGTGTTGCAAGTGGTTCAGGACGGAATGATGGTTTGAAGACGCCTGGAAGTGGGCAGCCTGACAGGCACGGAGTGGAGCCTCGGGTTCTTGACCCCTATGGAACTCCAGCTCAAGGGGCCAGTCAGGGAGTGAATCCTTTTTGGAGTGATGGGGTGCAGCGTGCAGTTCACAGCCAAGGTGATCACGTTGCAGCCAGCGGCAACAATGGTGTGCAGAGCTTCGATGCAGAGGTCGAGAAGCTCAAGGCTAAGTGCTTGCGTGAAGCCGAAGAAGCTTTTGCAAGGGAGGTTAAGAAGCTTGGAGTGGCCGAGAAGACCGAGGCGGAGTCCTATCACACTGCTTCCAGTTCTCAGGGCATGCAGAAGGTGCCAAATGGAAGTGGAGGTGCTCCTGCAGATGGTCGAGCTCGAGGTACACCTCAAGGCCCAGAACCTCCACCAGGTTTGACTTCAGTTCGGATTGGTTTTGATGGGACGGTGGGTCCAACTGTTTCAGAATCTCTTCGTCACCTTGAACTTCCTGCTTTGCCTGTGGTGGGATCGGATGGTGCTGCCCTCCAATTTGGAGATTGGATGACGATGGCCTTCCCTTGATGTCTGACTTGGGCATTTCAGCGAAGGGTTGGTGGGAGAGATCAGTGGCAGCCGCAGAGGATTTTTATGGAAGATGGTTGGAATCCACTCCGCTGGAGCGCTTGAGGTTGAAGCCGCAGGTGGAGGTGGACCCAGGGTACATGAGGTTGGAACAGCGGGGGATTGCGATGTTGCTGAGCATCCTTCCTGAAGCTCTTCGACGCGACATTGTGGGAGCTCGCAACGTGTCCACGGTTGCCATCCTCTACAGGCTCTTTGTGGTTTTCCAGCCGGGTGGTGGTGCAGAAAGGACATCACTTCTGAAGTCCCTGACAGAGGTCCGAATTGGCACAACGATTCATGACGTGCTTGGGACGATTCGCCTTTGGAGGAGGTGGGTGTCCAGAGCTTTGGAGCTGAAGGTGGCGATCCCGGACCCCTTGATTTTGATGCAGGTCCTTGGACGGATGTCGGACGCTGTGGGGAAACAAGGAGGTGCACAGGTGGCCTACAGACTGGCGTCGGTTCGCCAGGAGCTTCAAGTTGATCAAAGACCTCTACTCCATGCTGTTCAGGAGTATGCGGAGTTCTTGCAGGCGGAGGCAGAGGATTTGAGTTTGATGTTGGCTGGGCCGAAACCTTCATCCACGACGGTGCCACCAACGAGCTCTTCGACAGGAGCTGCTGCTCCAGCTGCGGTGAAGGCAGTTGCTTTGGGTGGAAGTGGTTCGGATGAAAAGGGGAAGCCAGCATGCAAGTTTTGGGGTACCACTGGTGGCTGCCGACGTGGTGAGTCATGCACGTATTCTCGCAGCTGGGACAACATCAACAAGGATGGACGATGCTATGGATGTTCAGCGGAAGGGCACATGAAGAAAGATTGCCCCTATCGGCAGAAGGATGGAGGTTCTCAAAGGACACCAAAGGTCTCAAAGGTCAAGGGCGGTCCCAAGGAGAAGGATTCACCTGAGAAGGCCAAGGACGACGTGGTGGTTGGGAATGGCTCCGAAACTTCTTCACTGCCGAGCCCTATGTCCTTGAAGACGACTACACCATCAGCGGAGGAGACGAGGAGCCAGAGTGCAGGGAGTCAGAGCTCTGACCCTACTTCCTCGCTGATTGACGAGGCGACAGTGCTGCTGAAGACCCTTCGATCAATGAAGTCGATGAAGGTCAAGCAGATCAACTACAGCCCATGTGAGGATCATCAACTGGTCGCACTTTTGGATGGAGGGGCGACTCATGGCTTGCGGACAGCTGAGGTTTGGGAAAGGAAGGATTTGGAACCTGTGCAGGTGGAGCTTGCTTCGGGGTCGACATGGTTGTATCGCCACAGAAGCCACCGCACGCTGCTCAGCTTGGAGGATGTGGAGCCGATTGTGCCGCTTCACCGACTTGTGGCGATGGGCTTCAAGATTGAGTGGACGTCGAAGGGTTGCCGGATCTTCCACCCTTCCAGAGGAGTGATTGCTTGTTCTCTTAGAGGTGGATGCCCTATCATGGACCGAGGCGATGCTCTTTTGCTGCTGAAGGAAATGGAGAAGGTTGATGGATCTTCGCTGGATGTGGATGTAAATGAGTACAAGTGGTGGCAGGAGAATTTCCCGGAGGTGCCTGATCGCATCATCAGGAAGTTGGTGGGCCCTGTGGAACCTTGGGACCCTGCTGCATTGCCCTGGAATCGGCATCAACGCCGGGCACATCAGAAGAAAGGCGTGGCCCTTCATCTTTTTTGTGGCCCCAATGTGAGAAAATGGAAGGACTGCGATGTGGGCGGGTTGGAGTGGCTTTGCGTCGACACTTGCCTTGGTTCGCAGTACGATTTGCACAGGCCTGCAGTGTGGAGCTACTTGTGGGGGCTGGCCAACAAGGGCCTTATCAAGCTGATTTTGGGTGGGCCACCTTGTCGGTCCGTTTCACGTCTACGTGACGGGCCTCCTGGACCTCGCCAAGTACGTGGCCGTGGAGCTCAGCGATATGGCCTTGATGGGCTGGATCCCACGGAGGTTGAACTTGTGGAAAACGACACATGCCTCCTTTTGAAGCAGGTGGGCTTGTGGCTGAAATCGGAGCAGGTGAGGGGAGAGCAGGGCTACGAGACTGGATTCTTGTTTGAAACCCCTCAAGACCCTGAATCCTACCTGCCTGAAGAAGAAGGACGAGAACTTCCTTCCTTTTTGGAGTTCCCCGAGATTCGAGCTTTGGTGGAGGAGCACAACATGGAGTTGGTGTCCTTTGATCAAGGGCGGGTCATGAAAGGAGAAAACCGACCAGTTTGGTCACGAATCTGCCGGGAATGGGGCAGTTGAATGGTCTTCGAGGAGGTGGATCCACCGAAGGCGTTGGACCAGAGCTTCAGGATCGCATCAGATGCTCAAAGACATGGGCGGCGTGGTCTCCAGGCTTGGTGGCAGCGATCCAGGAGTCCTTGAAGATCCGTGCACACCTCATCAAGGAGATGGCCGAGCAGATGGAGGTGAAGAAGATGGACATGAGCGCCTGGAAGCGTCATGTGCAGAATCAGCACCGACCCTACAGAAGGGATTGCAGACGGTGCTTGGAGATGATGGGCTCTGATGGACATCACCGTCGCACGGCGGGAGATCGGGCGAGCTATTGCCTGACCATGGACATTGTTGGACCGATGCCGGTTGGTGATGATGTTGGCACTGGCGAGAAGTCCAAGTACATGATGGTGTCCACCATTGCCATTCCTCGCATCCCCTTGGAAGATGATCCCAAAGGTCCTGCAGATGTGGAGGAGGATGACACGTTGCCTAAGCTTGAGGCAGAGGAGGATGAGCCGGTGGAGAAAGCGACTGATGACGAGGTCAAAACGTTGAATCAGAAGTGGATGGATCATGTGAAGGACCTGGCAGACCCAGTTGGTGTCCAGAACCTCACCTTGGTTGAGCCATTGCGGTCCAGACACCGAGAAGATGTCATCAAGGTCGCCTCCAAGCTCTACTGTCGTTACCGGGCGATGGGTGTTGCTCCTTTGAGGATTCACACGGACCGGGAAACCTCCTTTTTGTCAAGACAGTTTCAAGCTTGGTGTCAAAGGATGGGATTGTATCAGACCATGACGGGTGGTGATGAGGGCCCGAGCAACGGGCGAATTGAGAGTGAAGTTCAGCAGGTGAAGAGGCGCTTGCGGCTGTTGGTCAAAGAAAGTGGCCTTGGGGAGAAGTACTGGCCAGGCATTGCGCGGTGGATTGGTCAAGAACGACTTCATGCGCAGTTGCAGGTGGTTGGCGTCCCGGTCAAGCCGTTGTTGCCGATTGGAGCCCAGGTTACAGTCAAGACGAAACGGTGGCATCGAGCAGGCTTTGGTCCTCTGGTTCCCCCTTTTCGCACTATGACGTTGATGGGCCCTTCACCTTTGATGAGCACTGGATACGTTTTGATGGATGGTACCCAGGTGCAACATTCCAGGTTGGCTATTCAAACAGACCCAAATGCAGATCGGGCTGTGTTGGAACTTCAAGCTGTGGAAGACCCTGGAAAGCCAGACAGACGTCTCCATGGAAAACAGCCACCAGATCCACTACTTCCTCGAGTACCTCAACCAGTTCAACACCCTGATGGTCATCTTTTGGTTGAAGATGCTGCTGATGAAGGTGGTGCTGGTTCCGGGGGAGCTGAGGTGGATGCTGCGGCAGTGATGGATGGTGTTTTGGATGAGTATGGAAATCGTGTCCCTCTGTGGGGTGATGACCCTGATGATGATCCAGCCCTTCATGCAATTCGGGCTGGGGGGGAGCAAGCACACGATTTTTGCGATTTTGCAACAGCAGCAGTTTTGGATTCTTCAGCACGGTCTCAGACGACCTTGCCAAGTACCTCTACCTTGTCAAGTACTTCCACGCTTTCTAGTCCCTCTTCGTCCTGGACGTGCACATGGGAGGAGATGGAAGCAGTTCACGAAGAAGAGCTGCAGGAACATTGGGCCTTGAAACAGCTCTGGATGAAGGAGTTGAGGCATGTGGCTATTGGAGAAGATGAAGGTCTTCAACAAGGACAGTGGCTGGGAGTCTTGATGGAGGACTTGCTGAAAAGAGAAGATGGATTGGAGGAGCAGCATCAGGCCTTGGAGCGACATCGGCTGGCAGCGTTGGTGCAGGCTTCAACGGATGATCCTCAAGAACCTCCACCCACAGTTTTGCAGACGTACACGGTCCCGCTCCAGCAGGTTCGAAAGGAGTTGGAGTTGTGGAAACAGCCTCTTTTGGACGAGTACAAGTCCCTGACGGAGATCACGGGAGCCTTGAAGGTGACCACGGAGGAGGAGCTTCGCAAAGATCCACGTTATCACCAGATGGAGGTAGCTCCAGCGATGCTTGTGCCAACCATCAAGTCTCCCCATGGAAGGCGCCGAGCCAGGATTGTCATTTGTGGCAACCGCATTGAGGCCAAGAACCCAGACAAGCAGCCTGAAGGAGATGGTCCTCTTGGTGGTCCTGGCGGTGCTCTGTTTGCCAATTACGCTGGAGGTGCCGATGGTGTGTTGCTGCGGTCGATGCTGAGGAAGGCAGCAGCAAAGAGGTGGCACTGTGCAACGGTGGACGTGCGTACAGCCTTTTTGTTGGCACACAGGAGAGAAGCTCAATCCACGTTGTTGACTATGAGGCCTCCGAAGGTGCTTCAAGAAGCCGGCATAGTGGGTCCAAACGAATGGTGGGAGGTGCGGAATGCCATGTATGGGCTTACTTCAAGCCCTTCCAATTGGACCGACTACAGGAATGGTGTGCTCAAGGGCATCCAGTGGACCTGCAATGGACGCAAGTTGCAACTGCTGGCAACTCCGGAGCCAAACCTTTTTAAGGTGTTGACGGTGGATGGAAAAGACGATGAAGAGGCATTGGGCTTCCTTGCGCTATATGTGGATGACATGGCGGTTGTGGGGGAGCTGGACATGGTGAACACCCTCTTGGAGCGCATTCAGCAGGAGTGGAAATGTTCAAATCCTGAGTTTGTGGTGGAGGGTGCCTATGTCAAGTTTTGCGGCTTTGAACTGACCAAGCGAGGTGACCAGTTCCTTTTGAGCCAGCAGTCGTATGCACAGGACCTACTGGATCGGCATCCTGGAGTAGCCTGCAGAAGCACTCCTTTTCCTGGAGTTTTGGATGAAGAACCAGAAGATGAGGTGCGTATCCAAGATGTCCGTGCTGCCCAGGGTATTGTTGGCGAACTGCTGTGGCTGTCTTGCCGAACCCGACCAGACTTCAGCTATGGGGTGTCGTGGATGGGAAGGATGGTGACGAAAGCTCCACGTCGAGTTTGTCAGTATGGGGAGCATATGCTTGGCTACCTCAAAACCACGGTGAGCATGGCCCTACACTATGGAAGTTGTGAACCTGGCCAAAGAGGTGAATCCGAACTGGCATTCCCCAGATCGATGCTCAGGTTGGAGGTTCATTCAGACGCCTCTTTTGGTCCGGCAGGTGGTCGTGGTCATCAAGGACTGATTGCGATGTATGGCGGCTGCCCCATCCAATGGGAGTCCAAACAGCAGGCCTTTGGAACCCTTTCGACTTCAGAGTCGGAGTTGCTGGGGTACACAGATGCGATGGTTTTGGGCGAATCCGTAACCTCAGTGCTGGACATCCTCGAGGGGAACAAGCTGTCTGAGGAGGGCGACAAGGTGCTCTACGGGGACAACCAGTCAGGTCTTCGTTTGCTTGAGAGCCCGGATGGACCATGGCGAACGAGGCATTTGCGCCTTCGCAGTTTTGTTTTGAGAGAGAGGATGAAATGGGGGTTTTGGAGAGGACGACATGTCCCAGGAGCGGAGCTGGCCTCAGACCTTTTGACCAAGGCTGTTACAGCCAATGCGACCTGGAAGAAGTTCTATGGTTTCATGAACATGTTTTTGGTGGAAAATGAGCCGGCTGTAGCTAGTGGAATTTCCCCCAAAGTAGCTTGCGTAGTGGTAGGAACCATTGCAGCTTTGGGAGCTGTGGCATCACAGCCAAATGTGACGAAGATGGCCAAAACGGCCAGCGTGATAGGTTTGGCTGCACTCACAGCCTTGGTTGGCGCGGAAGATGGGCCTAGGAGGTCACAAGAACACCGCGAAAAAAGACCCCAACAAGATCCAGTCCAAAGAGACATTGGGACACCTGGCGGCAGTGGCAGAGCTAGGGGCAGCTCGAAACCCTGTCGAAAAAAGATGCCAGAGGGAAAATGAACCCTGGCCTACAAGAGATGGTGTCAGGAAACATGAACCGGCACCAGATCCTGGAGTGAAGGAACATGAACTCACTTCAGTCTACAGTAGCCTTCGAGGCTCCCCAAACGCGCGGCTGGGTCGGGGCTCAAAAGCCATGGATGGCGGGAAGCTGCCTGTTGCAGAGCGCCCGGATTCCAGGCGCCATAGTGGAACGACTGGGAGGATGGTGGGAGTAGCACGTGAGCCAGCTGGCGGCCTGTTGCAGAAGCTTGACATCAGCAACACCTTGGCTCAGTGCTCCGCCGGTCATCCCGCTTCTTTTGTGGCTAGTGCTACCTCTGCCATGGCTGGTGAGATCCCGCGACTGGCTGCCCTGCGATTCCAGAGGGATGAGGTGGCCTACAATTTCTGGCCTTTGAATGAGGACCAGTTTGCGACCCCTCCTCGAGGTGCAGATCGTTGGACGCAGTTGGGGAATGAATGGTGGGTGAGGTCGCATGGGCAGTGGCGCACCAAGACTTTCCACCCCATTCACACCAACATGCCCTTCAATGCCAGCGAGCTCCACCCTGTCCGGTTCACCTTGATGTTTTGGGACAACGGACAGGAGTGGGCTCATCGTTTTGTACAAGACCGTTGGTGCGATCCTCCTCGAGCACTTCGCGGTGGCGTGAGTGGCCAATGGAAAGGCTACACCTTTGTGCGGCTGCAGCAGCCTGGTCAGCCGCCGAGTGCTGCGTCCTCTTGGGGCGATGGGGAGCCTGCGCAACGGGTTCATCCAGGACCTGAGATCCAGCAAGCGGGAGGAGTTGCAGCTACCGCCGCTGGTCATGGACCTGGGTCAAAGGGAGGAAGGCATGGAAAAGGAGTTGCAGACCGTGGGCGCATTGTGGCGAGCGATATGCTGCAGCGTCGCCCCCCATATCCTGGTATTCCTGGAGGAGCTGCTCATGAAAATCTTGGACCTTCGGGAGTACATGCAGGTGGCGATCAACGTGGACGAGGTCGCCATGGGCCGGTGAGCATCTCCTCCTACAACGAGGTGCCTGAGCTCTCGGAGAGCGAAAGCCGAGAGAATGATCCTCCGGTCAACGTGCAACCTGTGGTGCAGCCGTTGCCGGCAGTGGATCACCAAAGGTTGGCGGAGGCCATTGTGGCCGGGTTGCAGCAGGAGCACCCGCCTGGCAACATTCCGTGGCCGCGAGCTGCTGAGGATCCGCCATTGAACGGCATCCGCCACCACCATGAACAGATGACCTCCAGAGTCATTGGGGGTTACTACAACCATGGAGATCGAGTACGGACCCCTACGCCTTCAGATGACGAGATGGCGATGCCTGGGGAGGCCATCGACCGCCTTCTTCATGGACGTTTTGATGGAGCTGATGGCGGGCCAGCAACTGGCCAATTGGGCCATGTGGACAGCGGCCCTGGAAGCTTTGACCTTGTGGAGGATGAGGTCAACTGAGAGCCGGGCTCAATGTGGTGCAAAGTGCACCAGGGGGAGTGTGGTGATGGAAATGCCACTACACTTTTTGTACCCCCCTTTTTCCTTTTTTGCAGTTGGAATCGGAAGCTGTAGCGCTTCATTGTCCTAAGGGATACAGAGAAGATTAGCATGGCACCTGGCAACTTGACTTGCCGATCGTAATGCGTGGCTCAAGAAAAGGGCCTTGCTGCTGACGCAGGGCTCCCCGGTTGCTCAGTATCAATATATCACCATGTCCCATGATTTGTTGAGTGTTTAGTGCTAGGTTTCCTTTTCTCAGATATTGGAATGATCATGAATACTGTAATCATCAACATTAACATCATCAACCATACGCCCATTATTTGGATATCCACGTGTAAGCATTTAGCCTCTGGTGTTTTTGCAAACATGGCTGGAACAACATCTGAAGAGGGATGATCAACCATAATTTTCGTTGAAATCCAAGCAATCCATACCATTCCCTCCCATTAAGAAAACCACGATTCTTTGGTGAGCAAAAGCCAGCAAAGTGATCTCCGATGAACTCCAGAATCCCTGGAAAACTCCGTGGTGTCATGGAGATTTGATATATGAAGATATCCATATATATATATATATCCGTGGTATATTACCGTGATATTACCAGAAATCACCATGTAATAACCATGTATACATATATGTATACCATCTATCATCATAACTACCTCAGAGGTTTTCAGAGGTAGTGGCCTTGGGATCTTCATGATGACTCCCCGTGGAGTCGAAGCCAGGCATCACCGTTCCGTGGATGGAGAACCTCGGAACGCCCGCCCCAAGGTGGGGCGGGTATGGAAAATGGGAGGAATCCACGGCAAAAATGGTGGGATGGTTGGAAAATTACATATATAGTCCATATAATATATATATATATATAATTATATATATATATATGTTTGATGTAAAGAGTTGATGTTGTTCAAAAATGATATCTATGTTTATCATTGACTTCGATTTTGATATTGCTATTCGACAGCTTTCGGGAAATGATACAATGTATGGAAGATCGAACCTCGTGGTTTTCTGCCAAAAACAAAAATGCATTTGTGAGTCGATTGGCACAAGGTGAGGCCCCCGAGATAGCTAACTTGACTTATAATTTGGTTGTGGTTAATAGTGATTAATAGTGGTTAATAGTGATTAATAGTGGTTAATAGTGATTAATAGTGATTAGTAGTGATTAATATTAACTAGGGTTTATGGGAGATGTAACTATGGCTGATGGGTTTACAACCAACTTACAACTGGGGGTACCCCATTTTTACCCATCCCCATTTGTTCCGAAAAGGATTGAACAACTGCATCAAAACAAACGGACATCCTTCGACAGGTTGCGACTATCAAAATGGGGTAGCGACTTGTAACACCGACTTGTACCTAAGTGAATCCTTTTCGAAGTTGGCAAGTTTTGCATGTAGTGTTGGACCATCCGTTGTTGATCCGTGTTAATCCATTTCGACACCTGTCCAAACAGGAAAAACAAGAAGTGAACTCCTCCATTCCCCCATAGATCCCATAGATTGCCCAAATTAATCATATAAATCAGATAAATCAACTATGAATCCATTTTTTTACCATTGTTCATGGCTAAATGGGCCCAAGAAACCCCAAGAAATTCACAAAATTCGTTCGCCCAGGTCACAAGTCCGTGGGTTTCATGGTGAAATGTCTCATCTCCAACCTCAGTTGATGACGGGGGTCTCCACATGGAGATTTTTCACCATCCAAACATGGGGATATCATGGCCATAATAACGATAGTTTAGTAACTAGTAATAGTACTAAATAGCAGTCATACTCAGAATCATAATAATCTTAATAGTACTGATACTGATGATGATGATGATGATGATGATGATGATGATGATGATGACGATGGTGGTGATGATGATGATGATGGGGGATGTAGTGATGTAATGAACATTTAACCATCCAAACATGCGGATAAATGGAAATGTGATATAGTATATGTGGATATATAACTAAGCAAAATGGTATATGATTGTGACTGAACATATGGCATACCCCCAGTTGTTGTTGCCATGAATGGTTTTTTGGGATAATGATGAAAAGACAATGGATTGATGGGTACCCTATGTTCATACCAACCCTTCCTATTAGCTGTTTGTATGATCATGGATTTACTTTTGTAATGATTAATGGTTAATGATTTATTGTCGCATCCAAACACAATGTAAGATGAGTCCCAAGAAAGTGTTGTAATTGATTTATTGCATCCAAATTGCGCAGTAAAATGGGAACCAAACAAGATGGGAACTCATAGCTCTTCACTACTCTTCACCATTCAAAATCAGGTGCAATGGGAACTCCATTCTTGAGGCGCTGCGGTGATGGGTGAGTGCAGCGGGCCAAAAAAAACAACACTGCTGTGTCGCATCTCCGGCAAAAAAACGGGATCACCATAAATAGCCAGATAGCCATCTAAAAATAAGTGAAATGTGCGTTTAATAGTAGCCTCAAGGCCTACTTTTATGGAATTGGGGATGGAAAGATCAAGCCTTCACTGGAAAATCACATCACTAGGGCGGTCACTAAGTCGAAGTGGTCAACAGGTCCGGTCAAGTTTGGATCTGGATTGTCACCATCCAAAGACATGGATTAACAGGGTATATCAATGGATTGGTTTAAAGGAAAATCTTAACCGGAAACTATTGTTTTTTACCATCAATTTTTTGGGGGGTTCCGGTTAAAATTTTCCCATCATCTAATTCTATGAGTATAACAAAGTCATCACTTTACCCCAATAGATATTCTATTCATGTTTGAATCTGTAAATTTCTACATTTTGATATGAATCCATCACCTGATTCAAATCCTTCCATTGTGGCTAGATGTGGAGTTTACCCAGCATGAACGTAGATCATTTTCCAAACGGGTTTCCCCATGGCCATGCCCTGGCTGCCAAGGCACTTCCCGAAGCACACGCGCAGCACGAAGTGCGGCCACACCGGCTCTGGCTCGTCGTCGTCCAAAAAGATGGCCTTCCCGGCACTTATCTACACGTTAGTTAATGATGATGATGTTTGTTTAAGTTTAATAATACAACATAAATTTGTAGATATCTCATATATTCATATTGAATATGAAATATATATATATATATGCCCATAAGTATTATATATATACCAATATTGGTTTATTGATGATTTCATGATATATTTTTTCTCGATTCGAATGCTTTAACTAAACCGCCTGCGGTAGCATGGAGGGCTGGCCGTAGACAATGGGACGCCAATGCAGACCTCGAAAACGGTTTGCGGTGGCACGCCACGGAGTCTTCACGTTTTTTTCTTGGGAAAATCGCCATTGACGGCAGAAACATCTGGGGTATAAAAATGATCTATTGGGCATATATATATAATATATAATGTAGATAGACTTTTTTGATAGATTGATGGATAGCTGGTGAATCTTAGATACCCCCAACAAAAACTATTTGTTTGATGGTAAGGTCATGATCCAATGCATCCAGAGATTGGAAAATTCTGGGGGTAGCCACTTAATATCCATGTAAAGTTGATGTCCTATAGAAAGGACATTATGAAATATAGATGATATATGGAATTAATTATGGAATATACATCATGATATATGGAATAAATTCTTAGAATATAGATTAATGATGATGAATGGATATAACAACTTCATGTTCATGTGATATCAATGTTAAAAAAATGGTTTGGACGTGCTGGACGTGATGTCAAGACGTGACAATGGACCATCAGAACTATCATCTCTTGTTGATCAAAACTCCCACAAGCCCACAATGGTATGAAGCCAAACCATTGCACTCCTCGTAGTCAAAACTACGGCAACAGCTTAACAGATATATTCCCAAACTCCTTCCAAAAACTCGTCAAAAACCATTCATCAGACATTCAAAATCAACATAGAATAGTTTCCAGCTAGTGAATCCCCAAGAATGGCTTACCATGTTTGATTATGTTTGATTTACCATCATATTCCGCAACAAAAACTCAAGGTGATTTCCCGCCCAGTTATAAGTTGCTTTATAAACCCTATGAAGTATAGATATATCTTCCATAAACCATGGTTATAGTAAAATAGTTAACTACCATAAACCTATAGTTACTCCAATAGTTACCATAAACCATGGTTCTAAGTGAGTTATTTGCACCAACTTAGCCATAAATCAGAAATCCCATGAAATGTTCCCTGTGTCTTTTTCTTGCTTAAATCACCATTTGGGGTTGATGAAATCAAGCCATTTTTTTGGTCGGTTACAACCCCACTTTTGGTGAACTCCCCACTCCCCAAGGGTTTTGGGTGAAATCACTGGCTGGTTTCAACCTACCCTCTGGTAAACTAACATAGCTATTGAAAATGGCCATAGAAATAGTGGATTTTCCCATTAAAAATTGTGATTTTCCATAGTTATGTTAGTTTACCAGAGGGTACCCCGAAAAATTTTTGGTTGGTGAGTGAAAGTTATTGGGATGACATGACATTCCCAACTGTTTCTGGAGTGCGAACCCATCCAAATTCCATGGCAAATTCCATGGTTCCAGTCACCACCAAGCAGTAATGTTTGGGTTAATTAAATCACACTGAGGACGTTAACCATCATTATTGACCATCATTATTGACCATCATTATTGACCATCATTAACCACTAATATTACCATCTGGTCATTTAACATAGCCATGGAAAATCACCATTTTTTCAATATCAATAGGTAAACCATCTATAAATAGGCCATCTATACCATGGCTATGTTAAATAACCAGAGGGCCAGAGGGTAACCATTATTCAATAATCCTGATTTTCTGATGGTTTTCTATCGCAAACCCAGCCACCCAGCGTGATGGACGGAGGCTTGGCGTTTCGCAACTCTGCGTGGTCCTCCCGACCTGCCGATTTCGCCCAAAAGTCTGGGAAAATGATGGAATTCATATAAGGATTTCACCATGGAAACTGTGGAAATGATCTGAAGAGAGGGAGAATAAAGGAAAAATATGGATAATTTCATCATTTCCAGAGTTTCCATGGAAATATATGGAAATTATCCAACGAAGTAGGGATGAAACCTGCTAAAATGTGCAGGAAGAACCATGAACTTAACCATGGGAAATATTCATCTTAAGCAAAAAAAATGGGGAGTAGAGCAAAAAACGGACGTATCATGAAATATCTAATGTCTAGGAATGCTCTCACCCAAGTGTCGGATCAAGTCAGAGCCTGTGCTCACATCAAAACAGCACAGTGGTGCCCAAGGTAGGATTTACCCTCTGGCTATTTAACATAGCCATGGAAAATGGCCCATTTATAGATGGTTTACCTATTGATATTGAAAAAATGGTGATTTACCATGGCTATGTTAAATAACCAGATGGTAACCATTCAAACATATCAAAAATAAAGAAGGGTCAGTTGATTCATGAGTTGGTTTATAAAAACATGGTTTTTCTCCATCGCCACAAAACTTAAACTAGTTATGAATCAACGCAAACTGGGGCACCGCCTAAATCCCGAGGTCTGGGGGCATTTTTATCATGTCTACAAATAAAGGGGTGGTTAATTTAGAGATAATTGGATTATATGATTATCTAATGAATTATCAGCAAAATACCTGGTAAAATTTGTATGTTTTTGTATGTTTTTGTTGGGATTATATATTTAGAGTAAACCATGCCTAAATCTGACCAGAAGAGCTTTGATAATCATACCCCATGCCATCCCATGCTACCACTCCTGAAAATCCCGAGAGACGGTTTGGTTGAGAAAGGAACTCCCCACATCGGATGAAATAAACCCCATTTCAGCACTTGAGCAGTGTTCAAAACCCCGTGTCATTTCCCTTATACTGCTTGGTTCACAGGATTTTTGAGTTCATGGATTTTGATAATGCCCAATATATTGGATAGTATAACCCTATGTTTGTTTCCGTGCAACCTCAGTAGTTTCTAAGGCCTGAATTAGATACTACTATAACCTCATAGAATCATCAACCAACTCCCAACACTTCCGGTGGCTCCGCTGGCCTTCCCAAATGGTGTCCAGAGAACAGGTGAAGTTTTTCTCCTGTTCCTTATCCTCAGTTCATCACTGTTGACGCAGGTTTAAAAACACCATCCGACCCAAAAGTCTAACAGGAAGGTCCCTGTTAAGTCAAAATCCAATTCTAATCATGAGTGATACCCCATCTGAATCAACCTGAGGTGTGTTAATCTCTGTTTTTTTCATCTTAACTTGGTTCAGAATCATGTTTTCAAGGGTGCTTGCTGAAATCGAGATTATGGTCCATCGCATTTCGGGCCCGGAGATCGGTTCGAGTATTTTATTTTTCCGGATTTGTCAATGGAGTGGTTTTCGTTGGGAAAACATTCACCGGAGACCTTGGGTTCTTACCTCCATAATAATGTCCGGTAGATCCACTGTAGATGTGCCGACAATTTTTCAATCATCAATTTTTAACGGGTTTCCAAGGACGTTTACACCCCGTTGATATCCAACCGCATATTTCAAGCCATTAAGGCATCCCTGTTGGGTCAAGTAGCATGCCAAAATGCTCTGGAATCAAATATCAGCGATTCATTGCGCATATTGGAACTGCAAAATCAAATGAAATCACATAAAATTAAAATCACATGCTTTGTCATCGTGCAAGGAATCTGCACCGTAACCCTCCGGAACCTCACAGAGTACCTGCACCGGAAACTTCCGGAACCTCACAAGGTATCTGCACCGGAACCCTGCAGAACCTCACAAGGTATCTGCACCGGAGCCCTTTGGAGCCGCGCAGAACCCTCCGGAGCCTCACCGGAACCCTCCGGGAGGTATTTGCACCAGAACCCTCCGGAACCTTGTCCGGAACCTGGTGTTGACGCTGCACCGGATCGCATCGGAGCTAATCTGGGCTTTAAGGGCCCCATAGCAAAGATTTGCTGTTGGGGAAAAATAATGCGGGTTCCCTCAAGCAAACATACTAGGTGCCCCCTCAAAATAATTTTTAAAAAATAATTGGCAAAAGGTGTTCCCTGTGGTCTCCAGCCAAGTCCTCCGGCACCACAGAACCTGTGTCAGGGCTGCAATATGCTGCAATGATCAAGTGTGGACATGTCTATCAAGTTTTAGGAGGCCTTTACATCTTCGACTGTGGCCAACGGTGGCAGCCACAGCCAGAGTGGCGGCGCGAACTCGCTCACAACAAGGGCCCAGTAGAAACCTGGGCCCGTGCAGACTTCAGGAATGCATCGAATGGAGACGAATGCTCTTTCTTGAAATTCTTACTTCGTTTGCCTGCCTGTGGTCATGTCAGGAGTGTCGCGACTGGCATTTTTTCAGGCTTGAGCTCTCAGAGGTGCTGCTGAAAACATGCAATTTTCTTTTTTGGTGCGTGGCCTAGATCTGGCATTGCTTCGATTCAGTGACATGCAGCACAAGCATGGAGCTGCTATGCTTTATCATTTCTCAGACAATGTGTCACCTGCTGGAATCCGACGAGGTAATTAATTTGAAGAATTCAACGACCTAGTTCATTTCAAGAATTCTTGAAACGACACGTCACCTGTCAGACTTCGACGACCTAGTTCTTGAGACAACACGTCTTCTGAGATTCTGTTAGAATCTGACAACCTGGTTTATTTTGAACACTTGATGGTCCACCTTGCCTCCAGCATCGCCAGGAGCAACATCGCCAGGAGCAACGTCAGGAGGACGAACCGGAAGAGCAGGAGCATGAGCAGCAGCACCATCATTTCCTGTATGACAAACATGGAGCTGCTATGTTGTATCATTATGGAAACGACGTGTTTCCCTGCCTGCACGAAGCAAAAGAACAAGATCATCTTGGCTCAGCTGCCGTGCAGCCTGTACTAAGCTTTTCACGCAAACAAACACAAGAGAGTCAACGTCACGTGTTGAGGCAAACCCTGCCTGCAACAAGCGTGCGCGTCGCTTTTTCAATTTTTTCTCCTCAAGGGCCAAGGCTCGAGCACGTGCCTTGGTCTCTGCACGGCGCCGCTTCAGCTCAACCAGCTGGTCTGCCAAGACCTCACAATACCGGGGAATTCTCGTGACCGCAAATGTTTTGAGTCACTCATCCTAACAAAGAAGCGCCTCGGGTCGATTGCGCTTGGGAGGCATATTGGCCTGCAAAACAAAGGGCAAGATCACAAATGATTAGTCTGAACTCTCAAACCCAGCACCTTATTGCACGATGCAAGCACGAGAAAGTGCCGGTGACAAAGCTACAGTCGTCTGCTTTGGGATACAGCTGCCAAACCAATATATTTGCAACAGGTAGCATTGAAGAGACCCAGTAGCCTATCCACGATCTTTTGCGCATGGACTCATGCAATGAACGCGGCACAACTGTGCACAAACGTCATGTCGAGACACACCAAAACTCTTTTTTGGACCGCTCTCTTGGCCGAAGCCGCTCAGTTTTGAGCAAGTAGGCCATCATAGAATCCACCTGGCGAGGGGCAGACATGTACAGGAAGGCAGAAAGCGGATGACAGGAAATAGCACGTCATACAAACCATGTCATCATGTGTCTGAGTCTATGTGCACTGGGCGACTTGACCAAGATAGCAACATGCACCATTTCTCATTTGGGGCGCAAAACGCCTTTGTCTTTGAATTAGGTACATAGCAAAGAGACAAGCACCGCTAGCTAGCGAATTTTCGATGCAGCACCGCAACCACGAATTGGATCTCCCCCACACCCCTCTAAGTCAAGGTTGACTGTGTGTAAGCATGGAAGCATGGAAGCAGTTACCAACATTGATTTAGGGGGACGGGGGCCGGCGGTTACTCTTCAAACTCTCATGGTGTGGAGGTACGATCATGCAACCACTGGCGCCACAGGTGGGAAGCCACGGTCTAAAAGCTTCTTGATGTCTTTGCCACCAGAAAGCACAAACATGCAGAAACATTGGGGACATGCTTCTATATCCTTCGTTTCCAAAATTCTGCAAGTAAAGTGAAAGATCGCCAGCCTTGCTCTCAGCATTGCCAACTCCGATTCCGTCCAACGGCCGCGTGGCATGTGCAGAGCTTGCCAGTTCATTGTCAAAAAAGTTGGCTGGCAAGGCTTGAAATCGACATGCCCAGAGAACACATTCAGTGGCCCTTGGATCCGAATCACTTGGCCTTCCAGCCAAAGGAGCGACGTGGACACATCAACAATAGATGCATCTGGTCTGAAGTCATCCAGAATGACGCAGTCAGCATCAGGAAGTGCCAGAAGCGGACAAGATCCTCCAGCTGGACATGTGAAGACCTCAGCCGCAAAATAAATTAAGATCATATACGACTTCGGGACCAGACTCCATGAAACACAAATCGGATTGCTGTGTTTGCTTGCAAGAAGACATGAGGATTACTGCGGTACATGGCTAGAAAACAGACATGCCACTAGTGCCTACGAGACTAGGGGCAAGAATAAAAGTAGCACTGGCACCAAACTTTCAAAAGACTCAAAAGATGCGCCAAGAGACACGTTGGAAGATGCAGGTCAAAGGGCGAAGCAACCAAGACTTCCCTTCATTTCCGCTTCCAGCAAAACATACAGCATCTTGCTTTCGGCGCAAGCCGGAAAGCAAAGCAGCCTTGATCTTCCCAGTTAACTCACTCTCAGAGATGGAATTCTGAGCCAGTAGTGCGCGAGCAGCATGCGCCCATTGCCTCTCAGAGCACAAGCATTTCGGGCTGAAGCACTGAAGCTCTCATCATCCTTGCTCACGCGGACGCACCCGACTTGGCAAAAGGTGTTCCCTGTGGTCTCCAGCCAAGTCCTCCGGCACCACAGAACCTGTGTCAGGGCTGCAATATGCTGCAATGATCAAGTGTGGACATGTCTATCAAGTTTTAGGAGACCTTTACATCTTCGACTGTGGCCAACGGTGGCAGCCACAGCCAGAGTGGCGGCGCGAACTCGCTCACAACAAGGGCCCAGTAGAAACCTGGGCCCGTGCAGACTTTAGGAATGCATCGAATGGAGACGAATGCTCTTTCTTGAAATTCTTACTTCGTTTGCCTGCCTGTGGTCATGTCAGGAGTGTCGCGACTGGCTTGAGCTCTCAGAGGTGCTGCTGAAAACATGCAGTTTTCTTTTTTGGTGCATGGCACAGGTGCTTGTAGTTAGGAGTCACTTCAAAATAATTTTCGAAAACATTATGACCCATCCAAAATAAGTTTCTTTCTTCTTTCAAGCTATCCACCCCCGCAAAATAATTTCGAACATGTTAAAAACAAATATTTGGTGATGGTTCCACGATTACTTTCAAAACAGTTCCCGTGCCTCAAAATATTTCCTAAAATTATTTTGAGGTGGTGGAAGAAGGTGATGGATGACTGAAAAAAAAAGTAGAGCCACCTCAAAATAATAACCAACAAAATCTCATGCCGTCTGATGCCGCCTGGCAGGGCAGCCGCTCAATCGTGAAAACAAGATGCAGCCCACGAACCCGAATGCTCACACGTATGTTAATGGTACAGATGTCGAACCACATGGACATGCAGTCACGCAGAACACTGGTCTGCAATAGTTTATTTGAACAGTCTTGTACATATCTCCCCTGTTAGTGTAGAGTGTGGAGTGTGGAGTGTAAAGTAAGGAGTGTGGAGTGTAAAGTGTGGAGTGGGGAGTGTAGAGTGTGTAAAGTGTTGTGTGTGGCGTGTGGGGTGTATACAGTGTAAAGTGTAGAGTGTAAAGTGTAGAGTGTGGAGTGTGGAGTGTGGAGTGTAGAGTCTGGAGTGTGGAGTGAAGAGTGAGGAGTGCAAAGTGTAAAGTGTAAAGTGTGGAGTGTAGAGTGTAAAGTGTAAAGTGTAGAGTGTAAAGTGTAGAGTGTAAAGTGTAGAGTGTAAAGTGTAGAGTGTAAAGTGTAGAGTGTAGAGTGGGAAATGTGGAGTGTGGAGTCTGCAGTGTAAAGTGTGGAGAGAGGAGTATAAAATGTATAGTGTGGAGTGAGGCGTGAAAAAATGTAAAGTGTAAAGTGTAGAGTGTGGAGTGTGGAGTGTAAAGTGTAGAGTGTGGAGTGTGGAGTGGAAAGTGTAGAGTGTGGAGCGTGGAGTGCAAAGTAAGGAGTGTGGAGTGTAAAGTGTGGAGTGGGGAGTGTAGAGCGCGTAATGTGTACAGTGTGAAGTGTAGAGTGTGGAGTGTGGAGTGTAAAGTGTAGTGTGTGGCGTGTGGGGTGTATACAGTCTAAAGTGTAGAGTGTAAAGTGTAGAGTGTGGAGTGTAAAGTGTGGAGTGGGGAGTGGGAAGTGTAGAGTGTGTAAAGGGTAGAGTGTGGAGTGTGGAGTGTAGAGTATAGAGTGTGGAGTGAGGATTGTAAAGTGTAAAGTGTGGAGTGTGGAGTGGGGAGTGTAAAGTGTAAAGTGTGGAGTGTAAGATGTAAAGTGTGGAGTGTAGAGTGTAAAGTGTGGAGTGTAAAGTGTAGAGTGTGGAGTGTGGAGTGTAAAGTGTGGAGTGTGGAGTGTAAAGTGTGGAGTGAGGAGTGTAAAGTGCAAAGTGTAAAGTGTGGAGCGTAAAGTGTAGAATGTGGAGTGAGGAGTCTAAAGTGTAAATTGTGGAGCGTGGAGTGTGGAGTGTAAAGTGTAGATTGTGGGGTGTGGAGTGGAAACTGTAGAGTGTGGAGAGTGGAGTGTAAAGTGAGGAATGTGGAGTGTAAAGTGTGGAGTGAGGAGTGTGGAGTGCGTAAAGTGTAGAGTGTGGTGGAGTGCATGGAGTGTAGAGTGTAGAGTGTGGAGTGTGGAGTGTAGAGTGTGGAGTGTAGAGTGTGGAGTGTAAAGTGTTGAGTGTAAAGTGTGGAAATTGTTGCACCAGCCACACAAAAGAATTTTCGACACGTTATCAAACAGGTTGGAATGTCGCAAAGTGCCACGTCTGCCATGCAAAACGACATTACAACCTCCTTGGAAACCTTCGAAAAGGAGAGCTTTTGCGGCTTCCCCCATAGACACGGCGACGCCACAGGAAAATCAGAGACTCGAGACGAGACACGTGGGAGGGGCAAAAAGAAGGATTTCGTGCGAGACCTCCTCCAATTTTCACACTTTTTAGCTTCAAAATCGAGGTTTTCCTACGAGTTTTCTTACGAACCTCTAAATTTGCTACCTCAAAATCGATGTTTCGTGCGAGGCTTCCGTCAATTTTCAGCACATCTCACAAAATGCCACACCTGCCACGGAATCTGCACCTTGTCGCCACTTGACGCAGCCCTGCCAATGCGATTCGCAAAAAACACGCAACACGACACGTCTAAAGTGCTGCAACCGCCACGAAAAATTACAATGAACACGTCTAAAGTGGTGCGCCTGCCATGAAAAACTGCAACGCATCTTGCGAAAACGTCGCAAAAGTATTGCGTCTGCCACACAAAACGACTTTCGACACGTTACAAAACACGTCTGAATGTCACGAAGTGCCACGCCTGCCACGCGAAACGAAGCAACGAGACGTTTGAAACCTCCAAAAATGACCCCTTCTGGAAAACTTACCATAGGCCATAGGCACGGCCATATAGCAATCGCGCGAACGGTTGCGAACGGTTGTGAACGGTTGCGAACGGTTGCGAACGGTTGCGAACGGTTGCGGACGTAAACGCACCCTGAGCGAACACACCCTCAACCCCCAGACCCCCAGAGTGAAACGGGAACCCTTGCTACGCATTCGGGAAAAACGAAGGAGGTGGTGGCACCACAAATCAAATAAATCATCTCTAAACCGGCCCCCTTTCACACCAGACAATTATGTTGGTGGTGGGGGTATTACTAGACCACCCCAGGAAACCAATTAACCTAACCTGGCAACGCTCAATCCCCTGGAATAGGTCAAAAATACCAAATTGATCCTAAATTATCCTAAATTGACCCAAACTGTCTCAAACATTCTCAAAAAATCAGACCATGAGAACCTAATTATGTTGGGGGTGGTGGCACTACTGAACCACTTAATATCGACCTTTGGACAAAGAAATCTGAATCGACTTCTTTCTCCCCAATAAATTCTTTTGGTGGTGGGGGTGCCGGTAGACCACCCCATGAAATCAATAGCCTTTTCATCCTGGGTGTCTGACAATTATTCTATACGGTTGGAGCTCTGTGAAATAATTTCCCCTGTCCAACTGAGAAATTATTGTGGAGTGCCTTTAGTCAATTATCTAAAATTATTTCAAGGTGTTTCAACTTCTGTAGAGGAAAATTATTTTGGCTGCAAGCACGAATCACCTCCTCGACTTCCACAATGCAGATCACGTCATCCTCAGCGGGAGGCTCGGCATTTTCCCAGATCACTACCTTGATCACCAGCGCTGGCTTTCTTCCGCCCTGCCCAACGGGCAGGGAAACGGCGATCAAGTAGCTGGTGAGCCCGATCTCCATGTCTTGCTCGGTAGTGGTCATCTTTTGAACGGCCCAGTGTGTGAGAATCCTGAGGACAACGGCCCGCAGGTAAATGCTCGGAACCTCACGAGATATCTGCACCGGAACCCTCCAGAACCTCACGAGGTATATGAACCAGAACCCTCCGGAACCTTGTCCGGAACCTAGTGTTGAAGCTGCACCGGATCGAGCCCGAGCTAATCTGGGCTAAAGACCCCATAGCAAAGTTTTGCTCTTGAGAAAGAAACATTGGGGTGCAGATCATGCACACATTTCAGGCTGGCGCCAAAAACAATGAATGACTTCCTCAATCCACTACCATAAAATGCCCAAACTCTCCGTGTTTCGTGGCCTTTATGGTTAGTGATGGACCCCTACCAGGTGGTGCTCCATAGTTAGATAAGTTTCTAAGTCCAATTTCACTTGGGTTTATGCTAGCTATATGGAGCTAGTTACTATGGTTTATAGCATTTTATAACCCAACAAACACAACTGTCACCACCGGCCGTAGCCGCATCCCATCACATCCCAGTGGCGTAGAAGTCGAGAGATGACATCCCGAACAGATCCATCACACCTTGGGAGTCTGAGGGATTTTGGAGCCTCAAATCATACCCAAACGGGATATGATGTTCATGGGATGTTAGTGGAATATGAATATTAACTAATGGGATATGGGTAATATTGCTATATATATATATACATATTATGGGATGTTAATGGGATACTAAAGTTTGGGATCGATGGTTAGTAATAAATCCTTTTCCCGAGTTTCGTTTGTCTAATCTCTTTCCCCCACACATACCACCAGAACTCATGGTTTAGTTGTTGGATCTAATTACCCTCTGCTTATTTAACATAGCCATGGGAAATGGCCCATTTATAGATGGTTTATCTATTAAACATGGTGATTTTCCATGGCATGTAACAAATAACCAGATGGTATATATGCTGTTTTAGCTCCGAAAGAAATCGGGTGTAAGAAACAGGGGATGGGATGGAAATTGGATGGAGAACCATGTAGAACCCACCTCTTGAAATGGGTGAAATAACGGGTGTCTTGTCTCTGTGAAAGAACCACATGAAAACGGGGATTTTGACCCCAGAGACCCCAGACTTCAGTTGGGTCCTACCTGTAGTTATCCATGCAAATGGTGTTGTTGACCATAATTCCCAACAATTCTCCCCTGCAAGTGGGATAGATTCGGCGGTTACTAAACACTTCTCTAACATCAACATCATCATCATCATCATCAACAACAACAACACCACAATCATCAAATACATCGCCATCACCACCGCCAAACAACACAACAATTGTGACAATAATAGTAATAATCCAATCTACAATGTTTCGATCACAAAGAAGCGACAACAAGAAGAAGAAGAAGAATTGAAGTATAACAACCATGTTGATAACACAAGCCAGAAGGATTGTTATTATCAGCATCATTCTTGTGTATACACAGCACTTAGTCATTACAAATACAACTACAAATACAATTATTGCCACAACATGCTATAACAATAGTATGATAATGACTATGTAGCAATAGCCATTATAACAAAACTAAATATACTTATAGCAATTGTAGTGATTATTGCTACAACGTATTACTATAACGCTTGTATTTACGCTTGATTAATAAACAGGATTGGATTAGTAATATATGTGATATGACATGATAATATCAATAATAATGCTATCAATATTAATATTATAGATGGATATTTGAAATAGGTTATATCATCTTGTATCTATTGATTTATAGCGACCTTTTGGTATCAATATGTAAAGATCTCACTGGTATCATCAATAGTAACAGGCTGAGTTAAATTACATGCGATTGCCATTATCTATCCATTGATTGTATGCAGTGATGACTCTACTATTAGACTAATAGACATATTGCAACAGTATTATCTTATTGCCATACTATCAATAGTCCTATTAGTAATATAGTATCATTACTATTGATAACACTGAACTATTAAAGTAATATCCCATTACGACTGCAATGTTATCCATTACCGTTACTACATTGGTATTGCAGGTAATTGATACATACAATCAGGTTGGTAATTGATGACATCCATGAACCAAGGCACTGAGACCCAACTTCCGCGCCATCAAATCCTCCTGACTCGCCATGCCTGGCGAAGAGGAAGTCACAACAACCGATGCGACCGATGCGGCGACTGGTGTAGATCCCAGATCCAAAAAAATAAACCTTGGAATATAGATGTATGAAAACTTGGGATGTATATAATTATATATATATATATATAATTATACGTATATACAGTATCATATGTAAAAAATGTTCGATAAAACGATCTATATGTTGGGATATATGAAATCAGCTAGGATCATTTATGTGTGAAGATCCTGATTTTTATTTGTGTAATTTGTGTAATTCTTGCGAAATCTCTGTGAAGATATATCGATTTGATATATGACACAATGTATGCATGTTGTGTTGTGTTGTGTCACTTTGTTAGGTTAGCTTAGGCTAGGTTGGGCTAGGTTATTTATGCATGTAGGCAGGTAGGTAGGTCAGCGGGTTCCCAGTCATGGGTCTGAAATTGATATGGGGCGTACCCAATCATTTTGCCTATAGATTAATGATGACAAATGACAAACCATAGGATTGCGGGGGGTTCAATTTTTCACATCCCAACTGCCCTGGCCGAGTCCGCCTATTTGCTGTTCACGGAACATCTGCAGCAAACCATCGTCGTAGACTCGAAGGTTGAAGTGCTGCAAACGTCTCGGTCGGGTTTTCCCAAGCTGAAAATGCTAAGAACAGCTGGAAATTGCTCGCCGAACGCCCAGCCGGTCCCTGAAAGGATTGGACCTCACCTTTAAATCCAAAAAACACACTGGCACCTTCAAATCCCATTGTGAACCCCCAAAATCCACGACCTTTCCCACGACCCAACAAACCATCTGCCAGCTGCTGGAAAACTCGGTCCCAAGGTTTCAGTTAAAACAGAAAGGCCAAGTGGCACAGAATCGATGACCTGAATCCGCAGCGTTTTTCAAACCCCCGCTACTGGGAGGAGTTCAATGATATGAACCAAGAAAAGTGGGAAAATCAACGAACAAATCGAGGTTACAACCAAACGAGTTGGCAAGTGACTAGTTATGCTGCCGTCCATGCTTTATCGAGTCATCCATTATGGCGTCCTATCATCCATTGAGTAATCATGTGTGTCAAGTTACATGGGATGAATATGGATGGGCTATGGTCATCCCATCACTAGCAATTCCTCAATGGGAATTGCTAACCCCCTGTGAATTCGAAGGGGTATTTCATCCATTTTTCTGGGAAATGTCTGGCCATGTTTTCAAATTTGTTGGCAACTATCCCATGTTTTCAAGTGTAAGCCATGCTTGAAAACAGCTGCCTGTTGCGTTCAACAACCCGAGTGAGCGAAGTCTGGGACCCAGCACCCAAATGCCATTAGGTTGGTGGTGCAATAACCATCTTGAAAAATATGATGGGAAGGATGACATCCCATATATGAAATGGAAAATAAAATTCATGTTCCAAACCACCAACCAGCATTAAAATATCTGGTGCAATCCATGTGCAACATGTTCCTACCACAAGTACATCGGTTTAGAACCCCAAGTCGACATTCAGAACTTGTACTGTAACTCCTCTGTGGCTAGTTGAAACCGCATGGGGCGGCCCATGTAGCATCTGGAGGAATTGATTCTTTTCAGATAAATTGAGAACAATGTGGTGAACCTCATTGTTCTAAATCCTACTTTCATTCATCAATGGTGACATCCAAAACTGCCAATGGCCATTTCAGGAACCCAAATTGGAGGTATCTACCATATATAAGGCCCATATAAGGCCTAAATTTCAGGGAATATCTGTAAAATCTTTCCTCTGGTGTTACCCTCTGCTAGTGCCCTGAAGTCGTCACCACATTTCGACCATGGACCACCCCACCTCCATCAACCCCATGAATAGTATAGTTGCCCTCTGGTAAACATACAAAAAACGAACTGGAACATCACCATCTATCTCTATGGTCCATATCAATAGTAAATATTACTATGGAATCATGGAACATCACCATCTTATCTAGGAAAACTATGGTAAATCATCTATTTCTATGGTCCATTTTCAATAGCGAACTGTTAGATTACCGGAGGGTATATCTACCATAACCAGTGTTTCACTGGAGATACACCAAAATCCCAATGGAAAATCCCAATGGTCTTCCTGGGTGTCCCTGCGAAGTAGTAGGTGTTTCCATCATCCCAGGTGGGATTCAGCTCGTTGTAGCACGTGGGTGTCCTGCATCCAGCTCTAATTTCATACGTATTTAAAAATCAGTATCTGTTTCTATGTATATATATATATATGCATATAGTCATATACTATGTATATATATATATGTGCAACTATAAATCACATGTGTGATATATATATATATATCTATATATGTATGTGTATAATATATATATATGCATATCATGTATATATATAATAATATATATATATACATATATACATACATAGATACATATGCAGGTGTGCACACAATGCACTTGTAAGAAACAATCAACAAGACCCCACTCTGAATTCACCTAGCCTGTCCTGAGGCTGTTGGCACTTCCACCCAGGTCCACTGTGACATACCTCGCTCCACGACGGAACGACGGATGGTTGAGGCCACCCAGCACCCGGTATCGAACCAACATAACCCGCAAACACCGCAACTTGAAACCATGTGATAAACTATTGATAAACATAGTGATAATGGGATTATATAGTGATTATATAGATTATATAGTGATTATATAGTGATTATATAGTAGTATAGTGGTATGAATAACCCAAGTGTTCAACAGGCATAATGTGTACCTGGGAAAGTTCTGGCATTTTCTGGCAATGCAGAAACAAAATAAAGTTGTCATGGCGATCCAACGGCCAGAAATTCTCGCTGAATTACAATTCACTAATCTGAACATGGATAATTACTATAATTATCATATTAAAATGGATCATCACAATAATTTACTATATATAAGTAACTAAGTATACAGAATTTTCATCTATTTTTCATCTATTTTACAATTCAGGTTGGTGAATTGGGATATAATTCTTCACTCGTCAAAACTTCTGGGATGATTCATCCAATTCATATGATGTCATATTTTGTGAGGCTATGTCCGTACATAGCCCGTAAAATTGGACCTTATATGGCCTTATAAGTCACATTATATATATATAACGTCTACATGCTAGGTACCTCCAATTTGAGGTTCCTGAAATGTCCATTGTCATTGACGTCCAGGCGCGGGTCGTTGGAGCGTGCGCCCGTCAGAATACTCTGCAGCTTCCATTCGGTGCCCACCAAACCGTTGACACCTGCGGCGGTTTGACGTTTGACGGTTGTGACTCCAGGTGACCGGGAAAAGGACATGGGCTGGGTTTGGGGGTGTTTGGTGTTGAATGATTTTAGGTTGGTGATGAATGGTGAAACGATTTGTGCCATCGAAATCATGGTGATGGTCCGGGCATAGCCAAGAAGAGATTCCACGTGACAGATGGTCAGACCAACATGGTCGTTCCAGGCGAACAGAGAATAGAAATGGTATCGAAACCAAGTGGAGTATCTAAGTATCTTTAGAATTCTATAGATGGGGATAGTATGTAATGTTGTCAATTTAAGTCATGGATATCTTGAGAAGCAAAGGGTTTGATCATGAATAAATGACCCATCAATAAGGGGATCAGGGGATGTATACCATTTACCAGGATGCAGTATTGGATCTCGTCAAATTTTAGGTCGTGGTACTGTGAAAAAAGATGGGGATGAATCAAACATTTTGGATTTTTCACACTGATACTATACCACCAAAATTGAATAAAATTAAGGATCCTCAAATTTTCTTAGAAAACAACTTTAGAGAAATGATGAAAAATGTGCCCTGACTAGATTGTAGATACCCTCTGGTAAACATACAAAAAGCTATTTTGTATAGATGGCCCTTTTGAAATCGTGGAGTTTCCCATGAAAAATTAGGTGGATCTTTCCATCGTTTTTTGTTAACGTTTACCAGGCCGGGTATCTTCACTATGGTGAGTAAAATCTCATTAAAACACCATTTCTCTTGGATAAATCAGGGCTGATTTAGTTGTAGATGTTCAAAAAAATAGTGGAATTGTCCATAGAAAAATGGTGATTTTCCATAGTTTTACCCATGAAAAATGGTGATGTTCCATGGTTTCTTGTATGTTTACCAGGCCGGGTGGCCAGTTGCTTATCGATATCCGCTGGGATCCCACGTGGGCCTTTCACAGTGATCTGCAGACATCCATGAGGCTTTGGCATCCTGAGATGTCTCGCTGAAGGAAACCCCCCCTCTTTTGTAGATTTTGACCCAGTAAATATATTTATAGAATATTATATATTATATATATAATATCTATATATCTATATAGTATATATATAAATTATATCATATTATATTATATATATATATATTATTATTATTATATTATATTATATTATATTATTTTATATTATATTATATTATAGTATATTATATTATATATATTATATTATATATATTGTGTCAAGATATCCATAAATAGCAAGTACTGATATCTAAATATATGATTTGATGCTAAACTCCCTACTTGACCAAGGCATGTCACCAAGGCGTGTCACCAAGGCACATCAGATCGTGTGCCACCATGCCATGGCCAACGTGAAGCAACATGCCTTGGTGGAGCGATCCTGGCTGAGCTGCATGGCTTGATGAAGCCACATCAAGCCATGGGCATTGAAGCATCAAAAATTTGGGGAAATTACTACAATTTCACGTTTGGGGTTATGGTAGTTATAACTAGTTAGATGGGAATGAATTTATAAACCAAGATATTTTTAGATATTAATTTACTTGGTGGCGAACTACGGATCGGTTTTGTAGGTTAGTGAACTAACCTAGTTGTAGATGAACCCCACAAAAATCCCATTAACAAAACCAGGGATAACCCACTTAGGATTCGTGGGTAGTTCACCACCAAGCTGTTGACGATGCTTCCCTTTGGGGAAATGATCGACATGTCTGGTGGCTTATCCATAGTGGATTCGGCCCAAAAAAAACATCGATGTGTCTAAGAAATCCGACGGAAAGCAACATTCATCTGCAAAAATGTAGATTTAACATGATTTAACTCTCCAAATCTCATAGTTCGAAGAAATTAAACAACGTCTGACAGCAATTTCAGGATCGCGATGGAATTTTCGTCATTGTCCAAAATGCATGAAGTCAATGAAGTCTGTAAACCGTCCCCAGCTTGATTCAGGAAGCTTTCTTCATCCCTCGGATCTATACCTTTTCGGGATCCTGAAATGGTGGGTATTTAGTCGGGGGCGTTTTCAGATGGCCTTCCGCGCGGCAGTCAACATGGCCGAGCCAAGGGACACTCAACGGGGTGTTCCAACCTGCCCATAGGATATTAGTCAAACTTAAACCCAAACTTTAATGTTGCTCATTCTTCAAACAAGACGAATGAATTGAGTAGGATAGATATGATAAATCAATGAGGTGATCTTCCTTAAAAATTGACGTCTCAAAAAATGTTGGTCCCTTTTCAAAAACGGACAAAAAGAGGTTCTAAAAATTGACCCAACCGACCCAGATTGCCGTCCCGGGACGGGAAGGTAGCACGAGCTTTGGCACGATGACACCTGCAGCAGCCCTGGTTTCGTGGAGGATTTATATCCCACAGAAATGCTGTTTTAGTGAGATCCTTAACCTCTGGTAAACATACAAAAAACTATGGAACATCACCTAATTTTCAATGGGTAAAATCAACGAACTAAATGGCAATGTTCAATAGCAAACTCTTAGTTGACCAGAGGATAACTCCCATTAAAACCACCATTTTGTTGGATGGTTAAACCACCATTTAACCACCATTAAACCACCATTTAACCACCATTTAACCACCATTAAACCATGGTTCATATATGGGATGATGGAAAAATTGGAGGTGAAAGCCCAACAAGACGCATGGAAAATCATCAACGGGTCATACTCCATTAACAACCAGTGTTTGGTCAAATCGGAGACCTACATCTTAACATATATTAACCATTATTAACATATATTAATCATTACTAAGATCAATGGTCAAATGATACAACCATTATTAAGCAATATAGTTAGTTGTATCATTCACCAAGATTTACCATGTCTTGTTCATATCTCCATGCTTCTTGTTTTAATTCCAACCTGTCCCAGTGTTGTTGTTGGTTGGTGAGGCTTCCCATCATTGGTCATGGAAATCCCCGACAAATTCTTACCACCCAACAAGCAAAAACTATCTAGCACTATCTGACTATCATTTATGACTTGTATATACCATTATATACCTGTATATAGAAATCCCCGTCTTTGGAGCCATTTTGCAACCCTTGCTTCTATTTCTTTGAAGCCACAAAAGGCTGAATTCATCGCTTCAAAATCCCTCTGTTCCATGAAATACTTGTTAAGAAGGGGATTCTCCTATTGGATTGTTGCAATACCCAGTTTATTGGAAATCTGGTGATACCCCATAGAAATCAGCCTGCTTGATGATTCTCTTGATTCTTCGACTGTAATCCTATGAGTCTATGAGTCGGGCTGGTCTAACTAATATAGATTAATAACATCTAAAAACTAATAGGATTGCAGTCATACTAATCTATTAGTATTATAATTAGATCACTATTAGTATAACCAATAGTATTAGTATTAGTATAATCATTATACCAACTAATCATAGACCAGTGATCATAATAATGGTATTATTATACTGATACTATACATTCCTGACTAATAATAGTTGATGTCATACCAACTATATAGTCATGTAATCCTATTGGTATAACTATCATCAACCGACGAATCATAGGATCACCATGGATCACCAAACTCATCATCCCTATGGGATGAAAATACCCAGTACTCCGAGGCGCCGTTGAGCGCTCCGACCACCGCATCTTCCACCTGGAGCGCTCTTGGAGCGATTTCTCCAGAAAGTTGGGGGATCTGTTGAAAATGGTATTTTGGGGGGGAGGATGAAGAACTGGACTTTGGGGGTACAAATAAAATTTCAAATACTCGAAGAGTGAAAGCCATATTTTGGGGGTTCAAGAGTCATGGTTTCCTGATATGTTTCATTCATTCCATTGAACATGGGGATCCAAACAAACTTATGGGAGTTCATGAGAGAACTTGGATGCGCATCCCAATTTGTTTGGGAAATGTCCATGAAAATCGAGTGCATGATTAAGATTGGGGGTTGACCAACGACAGGTGACACACTCATCAGGAATGCACAACCAAGGGAGGAGCGGAAGGAACCGTTGTACCCTGGTGACCGTGCCTAAAATGTTTCCAGAAATGGCTATAATGGAATGGCCGTTCACCCAATAAGTCACTGTTTGGCGTATCCCAAAGTTGCAACAGACTCAACAAAAAACGCATGTTGGGGGTGCTGAACTTGTTTTCAAAATGTGTTCGAGAGGACTGTGAAAGGGATACTTCAAAAGCCCAACATATACCCAGAAAGTAGACCGCACAGGCTCCTTGTGAGACTTATCTTCCGATGTCTGCCATATGGGTTCGCCTGAAATCGGCTACCCTAAATCCGTGGTTAATCATCATTATCTCGACTATTTGATGGGCATTGGGGGGTGTACCCCATTTTCAGACACAAATACCATTTTGTTTAGTCATACGTCCAAGTCTATTATATCCCTATTGCATTATCATCTGGTTGGTGGTTGACCTACCCCTCTGAAAAATATGAGTTCGTCAGTTGGGGTTACTATTCCCAACTGAATGGAAAGTCATAAAACTCCATGGTTCCAAACCACCAACCAGTCATTATATCCCCATGTTTGGATGGTTAAATCTCCATTACATCCCTGTGATATCCCCCTGATGGTTCAAATCCCCATCTAAATGCTGCATTTCTCGTCGCCTGAAGGCCACATTTCAAAAAAAAAGATTGGCCATGTTTCCATCCAAAATGACATTTAGATACATTTAGGGGGATAAACATCCATTTACCATCTCATCATATCTCATCATATCTCATCGATTTTGAGTTCACCATGGCAGGTCAAATATGTCATTTTTGACCCAACGTGCCGAGGTGTTCAGCCGAGGTGCAAAGCTGGTGCTAAAGCCTGTCCTTGGCTCCAACGACTCCGTTGCTGCTGGTTTGGCTTTTCCGATCCGACAACGAGAAAAACCAGGTCTGGTTGGTGGTTTCAACTGTTATATATGGCTAATATACTGTTAATAATGGTTAATATATGGTTATTATATGGTTAATATATGGTTAATAACTATATAACTGGTTGGTGGTTTCAACCCAACCCCTCTGAAAAAGTTTAGTTGGGATGATGACATTCCCAATATATGGAAAAATAAAAAAATGTTCCAAACCACCAACCAGATGTTTTTCCCATGAAATCTGACGATTCTGAGGCCTTCCTTGTACCAATCTGAATTTCTACAGATTTCCAGTTTCGTTTGAGTCCTGGCTGACTGGTAGCAGATCCCTCCATCAAAATGGCATATCAATATATAAATATCACATAATACTCACATTACATTAACATAAAAAGTTACATTTACATTTAGATGTACATTACACTACATTACATTATTACATTACATTGCATTGCTTTACATTACATTATCATTACATTACATGTGTGTGTGTTAGTATCATCCATTGATCCGCCAAACAAAGGTTTACCCAGCGATGATATTTCCGGTGTCGACGTTTGCTTTTTGGTAGTGGAACACTACTGGACTGGAAGCAGCCAGCCAAGTTTGAACCACCAAAAGGAAATAAACAGTACGATGAATCCATATATATATACATATATATATATATACATATATCATATATCTATCTACCTATCTATCTATCTATCTATCTACCTATCTACCTATCTACCTATCTACCTATCTACCTATCTACCTATCTACCTATCTACCTATCTACCTATCTACCTATCTACCTATCTACCTATCTACCTATCTACCTATCTACCTATCTATCTATCTATCTATCTATCCGAATCAAAATTACAAAATCTGTTTGAGATCAGAAGCAAACACCCCAGACTTTAATTCATGAATATCCCGCCATAGTAATATGAGGAAATCCCTTCAGCAATGACCTTCTACCGGTGTCATTCAGCTACATGGCCAGGAAACCCCGAACGGAATGGAGGTATAGTTCCCTGGGTAAATCAAACACATGGGAATGTTTCCATTGCCATGTTTGATTACCAAAGGGTAAATCACCATTATATCCCAATTATCATTCCAAATATAACATATTGTGTCCCTTTTTTGTCCCTATAAGTCTCTACAAGTCCCTCTAAATCCCAATAATATCCCTATCAGTCTCTATAAGTCGCTACAAACCCCTATAAATCCCACGAATATCCCTATAAGTCTCTATTGCGGAATCGGACTTTATTCCTATAAGTCTCTATAAGTCCCTATAAATCCCAATGATATCCCCTCTACATCCATGGTTCTTACCCGATTTTTGACCAACCCCAGTGGTGCAAAAACCCCACCTGGACTCAGCATCGCCAAGTTGCCAGGCGTCGCCAAAGGTCATACCGATGTAAGGATCCTCTTTCTCCTGTGAGCGTTACGCTGGTTACGTTTCTTCAAGACATGTACTGTAGGTATCAGGATATATCAGGTATGCCTGAAAATGGGGGATGAACCCCATAGATATAATGTACATAGATATAATGTGTATACAGTATATATAATGTATATATATATATACAGTATATTATGGGAAAATGAGAAGAAACCATTGGATTTTGATGTGCGAGTACCTACAGAGTTTTCAGGCAAACTGATGCAAGAGGAAGGCCCAAACCCAACTTGGGGGCGAGTCTTGGCTACATTCATGTCCAACAATTTGGGGAGTTCCTACATGGGGAAAGAGGTCCCATTTTAACCATCCTTAAGTATATTTGATCGGTATGTTTGATGAAATATATATATATGCAATATATTAGATATATTCAATACAATGTGTATATATAATGAATGTATATATTAAATATATATATAATATAATGTGTATATATAATGTATATATACATATACGTATAATGTGTATATAAATATATACATATATAATGTATATATATAATGTGTATATATATATTGTGTATATATACATAATATATGTATAATGTATATATATATATATATAATGTATATATATATTATATGTAATGTGTATATATATATAATATGTATATACATATAATGTGTGTATATATAAAGTGTATATATATAATGTATATATATATAATGTGTATGTATATATATAATGTGTATATATATATATATAATATATATAATGTGTATATACATTATATATATATAAAGTATGTATATATATATGGTCAGCGCCCCCCCCCCGCAACTTTACATATATAATGTGTATATATATATATACATATATAATGTATATATATATAATGTGTATATATAATGTATATATAATGTGTATATATATAATGTGTATATATGCATATATAATGTATATATGTATATATATACATTTAGTGTATATATATATATATATGAGCGATTGTGAAAACCCTAGGTTCACGGAAAGGACATCCACAAATTTGGGAAGGTCCCATCGCTTACCACACGTTTGTACAATAATGATATATGGTAAACTTGGGGGGTATCGCTTGCAGGAAACTGTGCATTTATATTATATATATATGTATATGTGATGAACTATGAATAATATGTGATATTTGGGTATCGCTAGTGTGGATATTAGAGAAATATGATGACATAACCTTGAACAGGGGTATCGCTAATTTGGGAAGGTCCCATCGCTTACCTCGTGTTTTTAACAATTTCCATCAATTTCCATAAACCAATGTCCGTCGAATACATATTTAGTATTGCCGGGGTTTTTACGGTTGCTCATATATATATATACTGTGTATATATAATGTATATATATATAATGTGTAAAAAGTAAAAATAATGTATATATATATAATGTATATATATATAATGTATATATATAATGTATATATATAATGTGTATATATATAATGTATATATATAATGTAAATATATATAATGTATATGTATATAATGTAAATATATATATATATAAATATAATGTATTCATGGCGATGTCCCATGTACACAACCGTTCCATGCACCGATATGTCTGCCATGAGGTCTCTTGTACTTTCCCCTGCCTTGACCCCACATTTGAAAATATCCACACTGCTGTCGCCCAATTCGGAAACAAATCAGATCTGGTTATGGGTCGAAACTCTGGTACCCTGGTGAACCCAATGCTAGCTGGTACATGGAGCTTCCCCTTCCCCAAAAATATGGTATGATAGGTTTCCCCATAGATACGAAATCTTCAACAGCTTCACCTTTCCATGGCGGCTCAGCAAAAATACCTCAAGCCTCACAGGTCACCTGGCGACCAAGAAATGGACCCTTCCCCCAACCGGAAACCTGTTTGGTGTTCAGCACATCCCGCGCGTGCATGAAGCCGTTGCCTCACAAATGTCCAGTAGGAAATGCTTGTAAAGTTGGATCTTGCCCGTTTTTGCGAATGTTCCGGACAAATCCTCTGGAAATCTGAGTTTCCGAGGAAAACAGGATGAATTTTATGTCCTAAAGTTCCCTGAAAATGTCGGATGCATGGCTGTTAATCGTTCAAGGAAAAATGTCTCCGAGTATACTTTTTGCTGTCATCCTGACTGGGAAATTGATGGATCTTCCCATCAAGATCCAAAGTAAGCTGATCAAGCTACAATGGCTCACTACATGAATCTGCATCTTAGACACTAGGTGAGCACCCAATACGATAAGCCAGTTATATGTGGATTTGTATCCCATCTATATATATATATATACACATATATATATATATACACATTATACAAGGATTATTACTGTAACAACTAAAGCTTTATCGCACCCCTCAAACTCCAAAGGGGTCCCAAGGAGTCCCAAGGGGTGCTGAAAGGTCGAGTTACCCATGTAGAGCATGGCTGCATTGAAGAATGGCGGCTCTTCAGACTGGCATCGTTGGAGCGTCTGGGGGAAGCTCGTCAACGGACCATCCCATATCTCAGAGGTGTGTACTGGAAGCAACATGTTCTGGGAAAGCCATGGGAAACCCCCTATGTTGACTATATTGTCTTTTTTGCTGAAGCCCCATATATTTTTTTGTGGGAAAGACGTCTGTCTACTGGGGGAAAAAAACCTGGTGTCCGGTGTCCTGTCTGTTTTCCTTAAAGCAATCCAACAACCATAAAAGGGATTACCATCTGGTTATTTGTTACATAGTCATGGAAAATGGCCCGTAGAAGTAGATGGTTTACCTATTAATAGCATGGTGATTTTCCATGGCAAAAAGTAACAAATAACCAGATGGTACATGGAGATGTTCACCGTCCAAAATATTGGCGGTTCGCCATTTCGATCCCCCTTGGCTTGTCGAGCCATCGCTCCTTTGGCAAATCGTTGGTACATCAAATCGCAGGAATTTTGTTTATACAAAGGATAAGGTCTAGTATGACCTACCTATCATTGGTTGGTAAGATACTGTTAATATTAATGGTTAATATATATGGTTAATATATGGTTAATGATAATAATGATAATAATATACTGGTTGGTGGTTTCAACCTACCCCTCTGAAAAATGATGGAGTTGGGAATTGTTGGGATGATGAAATTCCCAACTGAATGGAAAGTCATAATCCAAATTCCATGGTTCCAGTCAGCACCAACCAAGAAACATCACAGATTTCACCCGAGGCTCCCCAAGGCTCGTTGGCACCTCTCCCTGGAGGCCCAAATACATGGTGAAACCCAACTTCAACTTGGGTAAAGCCACACTTCCCAATTTGCCTCGGAGGCAAATTGGGCTGGAAAAATGCCATGGAAAATGGAATGGACCAGTTGTTCTGGATGATGTGAATATTGAAGAAATGACAGTTTAATAGTGGTTCATAGTCTTAACTTGAGAGTAGGTATATTTATCATTTATATCTCGTAAAAAAAATCTATGGTGTTTTTCCCATAGCAAGCTATATAAATTGCCAGTGGGATATTTGCACTTACTGGATCGGACTTGGATATGCGAGTGTTGGATCGTTTTTGGCCTTCTGGTATGTAACCATCATGGGCACAAACACGATGGTAGAATGCAAGGATGGGTAATGAAATATCCATCGAAAATTGAGAAATTGAACAATAAATGTTGGGAAAATGAAGAATATTGCGTTCTTAACCGTTCTGAAAACCAGAACATTCTGTCTGAAATATCTCATGAGATCAATCTGTCTGGTAACCAGAACACTGAGAGATTCACCATGTGGTAAACCAACAATCATCCAACCATCCCATCATCCAACCACGACTGGGGGTTTGTTTATAGCATTGGGTAAACACCACATAGATTCAACCGGATTAAACGCTTTAAAACTCAACTTATGGATATCACAAAGTGGAAATTGCTGTCTTCACTATCACTTCAATAATGATAATCTCAATAATAATGATATATAAAAATATGATAATCTCAATCTATAATAATAATGATAATTAATAACAATAATTATTATACTAGTAATAATAATAACAATGATAATTGATAATAATTATTATTATAGTAATAATAATAATAATGATAATGATAATGATAATATTTTGTGTTTTTTTATCGTTTTTGCACACAAAAGTTTGACCACCGATTTCGGGATTCCCCATTTCCAGCGACGTCCCTAAATCAGCTCCCAGCGACATTCCACGGTGATGTCCGGTTCGCTGTGCCAAAAGAAATGCAGTTTGAGATCCTTGGCGCCGCAGGCTGGGAATGATCAGGCTGAAGTCATCACTGAAGTCACTGTGGGGACATCAGAAATCCCCTTGGCTGTTGAAATGTTTCAATATATATATATATTATATTACTTATATAACCTTATATCCACTGGGCCAATAGAGCCACAAGACGAGACCCCAGAATTTCCGAGGTGGGCATGAAATTGGAACATATTTGTCATATATTTAAAACAAGTGCTTGGGAAATCCTTTGTCCTGAAGGCCCATACAAGCACCAACCAGCTCCAAAAAATATCCTTAAAAATGTCATAGAAAACCACAGTGCAGCGGTAATCCGTGACTGCAGATTGCTGACTGCGCTGCAGTCACTGATCGCAGCCGCAATGGAAAACCATAAAGTATCAATTTTGGAATCAAAAAGTATCCATAAAACATCATGTTCTCATAGAAATGTCCTCCATCATTCTTGATCCGCAAGCAGCGCAACCAAGGATCCATCAAATTGCCCAATCCTTGATCTTCCAGCAACTCGATCTCAGCAGGAGATCCCCAGGTGAAAATCCACCAGGAACGGAAAGATCTATCCTTATGGCTGCCAATTCTATGGAAAACCAATGGAAAATCCTATGGAAAATCCCATTCACATATGGAAAATCCTATGGAAATCGATGATTTTTTTTGAACATCTACCAGTTTGAGATTTTTAGATCCACCATTTATCAGTCCCGAACGGGAACTGATGCTTCGCTTCCGTAGTGTGTTCTTTATCTTACTGATGAACTGCAGAACCTCCAAATATGCATCGAAAAAACGGGCAAGGGAGTTTTTTTATGAGCCCATACCAACTTCGATCAGCCACATCCTTCAGTACCTTCTGCTAAAACCCATGGGATGTGGGGTAAAATCCCATGTCTTCATCCATTTCGAATGGGTATTTCTCTGCCATCTATGCTTTATTAATAAAAGGGTCCTCCTGGCTCTCCCATCCTTTCGATTCACCGAAAAGGGAAATGATCATGGTACATCATCATCATCATCATCATCATCATCATCATCGCCATCATCATCATCATCATCATCATCATCATCATCATCATCATCATCGCCATCGCCATCGCCATCGCCATCGCCATCGCCATCATCATCATCATCATCATCATCATCGCCATCATCATCATCATCATCATCATCATCATCGCCTGCTCCTTTTCCCCAACTTTCAGCAAATCAATGGGGTATCCAGAATCAACTGGCTTACTATTGTTTTTCCCAAATGATCATAAATTTGGGAATTATTGTTCTTTCAAAGCTATTCATTCAATTTCCAGACACACCCAAATATCACAAATATATATATATATATACAAATATCCATCATCTTCTTGCGCTTCCCCATCGAATGCTGGTTTAAAAAACACTTCCATAGGCTAAAATCAGGCCACCCTCCCGGTGATTTCCACAGGCGCGCCTCGTCCATCTGTGGCGCCGTATCCCCCAACAGACAGGGGTTGATGTCCACAGGCGCCACCATGCTGAGTGCCGAGTGCAGCTTGGGCTTCAGCATCTCCTCGAGGAACCCAGGGACCCAAGGCCGGCAATGGAACCACAACGGAACGCGTTGTAAAACACATGGGAAAGTTACGTGGGAAATGACAGGAAAATGTTGGCCAAGTCTCATTGAATTGATTTTGGTCGGGAAATGTCTGGAACCCCTGCTTCTTGCCACTACAAGTCTGGAGTAAACTGTGTAGATGTTCCATCGATGTAAGTCTAGGAGGGTTGTGTCAAGTGTGGGCGGCATCCAGACATTTTTTCACCCTTGCTGTTGTTTGTTGTATCTCCACATCGGACTTGCTAGCCATTTTTGCACGTCAACCAGCCATTCTTGAGTAATTTCAATGAAAATCAGAGTTTGTGGCTGTGGGTCAGAGAATAAATGCTACCCAAAATAGAGTCATATGCCCAGAAAAAAAGATTTTGCTACCCAAAATAGAGTATCGTCATATTGCCAAATTTGTGCCCCTTTTCTGTTATCTCTCTAGATTTTCTGTCAGCGGTCAGTCATCCCTATGGATTGATGTTGTCTTATCCCCATCTGCAGCTGCAGATGCTCCATGTGTGGAATATTTACCCTACAAAACTGGTTGATTTTGGGGGTAAATGTAGGTAAATATTCCAGCACCATGGTGAGCAAACAAAAGGCTTGTTGCTTGAAAACCACAAGTAGATTCAGATCTTTGTGAAATATGTGAAATCCTGGTTGAGAAACTTTCAATGGATTCGTGTCCGGGAAAATCTGATCCAGAAAACCACAAGTTTTGGGGGTTCCGGCAGATGTTCCCTCCAAAGCTACTCGGAAAAGATCCCACCGCCCACTCCTTGACAGCTTTCGACACGCTCGGTTGCACAACCTTGCGTGGTGGAATGTGGCCAATTTCCCAAATGAACAGCAATTCAAGCGGCAAAATGAGGTTCTAAGCCTATCTCAGCCTTTGGATTTTGGGTTTCAAAATATGATTTTCGAGCCCCAGATTTGGATGGCAACTTAACAAATCAAATTGTCAATTGATATCCATTTTTTGAGCCATACCCTATAGTTCGACACTGATCGCCCGACGGTATCACATGTGTGACCCATATTGGAACGTCGCAGTGCTCCATTGGAATCATCCAAAAACCCTTCTGAAGGAAGGTGATGTTCAAAATCCCAGGGCTACATCCACCAAGAAAGATATGAGAAATAGAAACGGAAGTACAATGAAGCTAAGCAAAGATGGCAAGGGGATAACAACTTGTTGGAACCTCTCAACAGCGTCGCTCATGGAGCCATGAGCAATGAAAGGTTCAGATGTTCCGACCTCACGGCCTTTCCATCTTGGAATGGGGAATTATATTAGTGTCATATAATGGTAATATACCAATAATTATAAATATTAGTGTCATGTAATGTCATATAATGGGAATTATATTAGTGTCATATAATGTCTCCCATGTTTCTTCAATGTCCCGGCATTGGAGGGTTGGTCAACCAGCACCGTCCGAGTCCGGGTCCAGGTCGGTCAGCACCAGCCCAGCAGAACCTCCCAAACTTGCTGCAGCATGAAGTTGATGAAATCCGCTTTGATGGGCAATGGCGGGGGCCTCTGCGACATGTCCTGGCACTCTTTAGGGCCTGGTTTCGGATGTGACATCATGACATCCAAAACAGGAAAGAGAATCCTCCATTTCTTGGTGACCCAAAAAATTCACCCAAAAAAATCGATTGCCGTGTCCATCTGATGATTTTTTTCACGAGATCGATCGCTCCTTGACCATCTTCTCCAGCTTAGCTTGGCTTGTGTCGCCCTCATCGAAGTTGCTGAGCAATTGCTTGCAAAGGTACCTGCTCGGCAAGGTCAACAGAGGTGAATTTCCATGTTCTTCATCCTAGTGGACTGTGACAATCCTGATTAAAACATTATATAAAACCTGTTGGTACAAGCCAACTACAAATCATGGATCACCTGGACATTGCTGTTTTGGATGAAAAAAGGTGTTCAGCACCCAGGCCCGCATTGCGCTGCCATCTTTGTTGATGATATGCCCATGATTAATGTTCAAGGTATCATTAATCTTATGTCATGGGCTGAACTCCATGCCTGATAGTTGTAATCCCGATTTCTGATAGTTGATAGCCAATTTTCGATGATCAAGTTTTCCTCGGGTTGCTGGTGAAGCTATGTTAAACGACTATTCCGCTCCTCTGACATCCTCTGACCATATCACCCCCTAAACGAAATCCTGCTGGAATGTATCGAATCTATGCATTTGCGGTGGGATTCTTAGGCCATCCGGGCCGCATCCGGGTATAACTGATCTAATCCGGGTATGGGATTCTTGCTTTTCCACTAGCTATAAATTGGTGATGTACCCTATGTTCTTTACATGTTCCCTTTTTGATGATTCAACCTTTCCTTAGCAGTGAAAAAACCCCAGTGACATCTCCATGAAATCCCCTAAGTACAGTATCCCACGAAAAATCAGGTCAAAGCTGGTAAAAAAAAAATCAGAAATCTGGTGAACAATCCATCATGTCCCAATCGAAAATCTGTTGAACATGTTGAAATCCCCAGTTGAATCAGATTGAATCATATTAGTTGCTATTAACTGCTATTATATTATGATGTTCCCACATGATTAGGGATCCATCAGTTATATCATCCCCAAATTTTTCGAAATCGCCCCCAGAAACTGGTCCAAACTCACCTCGATGCTGAAGGCCAAATCTTTTCAACTATCTCCTGAGCCAAAGGGTGGGTTGGTTATGTCAACAGTTTGCTATTGAAAATGGCCCAGTCGAAATAGTGGATTTACCCATTAAAAATTAGGTGATTTTCCAGTTAGCTATGTTAATTTACCAGAGGATAATCTGATTTTATCTGACTTAAATGGTTTTCGATGGAGAAAGTGGGGATTTTTCACTACTTGGTGGCGAACCACCCACGGAGTGGAAGTTTGTAGGTTAGTTTGCCCTACTTGTTGATGTGCATTAATCCCTTATTTATCCCACTCACAAAACCAGGGATGAGCCACCTTTTGTGGATACATTGGGGATATAGAGAAGGATATGATCGGATGTAATGGGATATATGAAGGGCCTCCCTAGTTGTGTTTGTTGATTCATGAACCCTATTAATACAGAAAACCATCTGTTCACCTAGGCAGTTATAAACCCACGAATGCTAACGAACTGCAGCAACCACCTGGGATAAAATGCTGGATCCCCAGGTCACCAGCCTGGGGTACCATGACGAAACGGAAACCCCCCTGGTCTATGAATAGAGAGATAGACATGCCATCTTCGGACACAGCTTGGCTGCTAAATTTTCATCCCAATCTTTGGAAATTCGTCAAACATGTTTGATCAATTAAATCCCAATCTTTGGACACTCGTCAAAAATATTTAATTAGTTTGGAAAATTGGGATGAGAATTTCCCATGGTCCTTAAATTTTGATCCCCACTTCAACTTCAGTCAGTTTAATGGTATCCTCTCGACCCGGCAACATTTGTGGAAACCAATGGTTGTTACACTTTGGATCCGTCCTCAAATGGATATTTAGTTGACATGTTAAATTAGGTTTACCCTCTGGTTATGTCAAAATAACTATTGAAAATGACCGAGTCGAAATGTCGTGGATTTATCCATTGAAAATGAGGTCGGATTTTCCATAGTTATGTAACAGTTTACCAGGCCGGGTAATTCCACTGACTGGTTTCCCCATGAAAAAACATGAGCCATTACCCGTGACCAGAGGGTGAAAATTGGGTAGCCCAAAATCCGCCAAGTTCATCGCGGGTAAATCCCCCAATTTCAGACACACCCGAATAAATTGTTAGATGCGTATCCCATGATATCCCTATAATGATCATAATTTTTGTTGGGAAAATATCCATGTTTGATGGTTAAATCAGTTAGATCTATCACTAAATATCCTATTGATATCCCATGTATGGATGATTTTCCCATTACCCTCTGACTATTTAACAGACATAGCTGTGGTCAATGGACCATTTATGGCATCTATGGATGATTTTTCATATTTACCTCTCAAGAATGGTGATGTTCCATAGCTATGTTTAGTAATTAGATATAATTACCCTCTGGTAAACTAACATAACTATGGAAAATCACCATTTTTAATGGGAAAAACCACTATAAATGGTCATTTTCAATAGCGAACTGTTAAATTACCAGAGGGTAGCCATAAGGTGGATCCCCAGTTTTGTTTGTCAAATCTCCTTGACTCTCAGTCAAGAGGCAATGAACCAATGGCGGCTGCCGTTCATCAGGGGGTGCCCCCCGACCCTCGGACCAGGGCTGTTCTTGACCATCTAAATGAACGACGACTGGAAATAGTTGGATGGCCATGTCGTGTTTTCTTCTATATGTAATTTTGATATTATGTATGTATTTGTATATATATATGCGGAGCTTCAAAGACCCAATAAGTTGTAGGCCCAGTGAAAAAAAAAACTAGTCTTTTCGGGAAAAAACAGGTTTTTGTAAAGAACCCATATTTTGGGTTTTGCTGGATTTGCACAAATTTGTCCGAATCGGGTGGGCCTGTATCAAATTTCTCTTCATTACATGCAGCAGTTACATACTGACAACTTGTGAAATCTGTCAGACAGAACGCGCGATCGAAACCGAAGCAAGCGTTATCAGACACGATGCGCGCGTTCTCCACCGGCTTCAGTTACCTCCTATGCTGTGAACTTTCCCTTCAGCGGGACTGAGGGTACTCGTAGTCAAAAAGTCACTATGGATATGCATGGCATTTCAAAAGTCAGCTTTTCAGAGATGAACCCAGTAAATTGACAATAGTTCCGGTAATCTGCGTTGTTTTCTTTTTGTCTGGATCGGGCAATTGCCGGTTCGATCCTGCAAAACCACAAGCGGAGCCTTAAAACTCGACGTCGCGCCGTCAATTCCCAGAGGCAAAAAAAACATATTTTGAGTACGGGATAGTATGGGTTAAATATGGGTTTCATATGGTTTAAATATGGGTTCCCAAAAACCGGGATTTGTCTATTATAGCAAAATATGGGTTTAGTTTAGTACGGGATAAATATGGGTTTAGTACGGCTTAATGCGGCCAAAATATGGGGTTTTTGGCATTTTTGGGGTACAGACCCTAAAACTGTCATCCGACATGACTAAAAATTGAAAATGTCGATTGATTTTTGATGTTTTTGTTCATTTTTTCGATCCTTTTGTTTGACTGTTTGTTGGGTTTTGGCAATCCAGAACAATTTTTTCCCCAATAAAAAATATTCAGCCATGTTTCAATTTATGCTTCTAGGGTTGGTTCTTGGGAAAAAACATCCAACGACTCCAGATTGACTGTGATCACACTTAATGTTGTCCGACATGTTCCAAAAGCATCGGGCCCTTTCTTGTGAGAACTGCCAGCCAAAGCCAGCGGGGTGGAAGCATAATAAACATGAAGGGTACTGCGAGGGATAGATCCAAGGCTAGTATCAATAAAGGGGTTTGAATCGTCTAAGGGAACGAATCATGAAATGTCATGACACCAAGTGTGAGAAGAAGTAGGTTTTTTTCCGTAGTTAAGAAAAAACCCATATTTCCTGAGAAAAAAAAACATTGTTTTTCATAACTAACTGAAGAAAAAACTGGGTTTTTGGAAAAAAAAGACCTACAAATGTGTGGGTTCTTGATGCGCTAGGTATGGAAATTCACCAAAACTAACTGATAACTATTGTGTTTACCATCTAAACGTGACATCTCCAGGGACGGGAGGCCAAAAACAGCTGGTGAGTAAGGCCCCATTTTTTGTGGCTTAGATTAAGTATACCACATATACATCAATTAAAATCATATATAAATGGATGTCATATATTTCATATATATATATCATATATATATATATATATCATATATCATATAACTATGTAACATGATGTAACTACTGCAAACCTTGGTTTACAAAAACCGGTGAGTTTTTTTGGGATGACAGTCACGGAGACACACCGGCTGGGTGCCCTGACATCACCTTGGGTGACAAAGTGCCGGAGATGTTGCTCATCACCTGAAAGCAGATAAAATGGCTATGATTATTAAGGGAATATAGGGAAAAAATATCCATTTTTAGTAGGGAATATAGGGAAATCAACTATTTATAAGATGTTAAATGAGATGTTATAAGTACTGACAAAATCCCATTTATAGAATGTATACCATATGGTTATTTGTTACATATCCATGGAAAATCACCATGCTATTAATAGGTACCAGGTAAACACCATCTATTTCTATGGGCCATGGCTTCCATGGCTATGTTAAATAACCAGAGGATATATATATATATACGATATATATATATAATACCACTTGTTAAATGGGGATACAGTATAATACCAGTAGTTACTCAAGTATATTCATCCATATGATATACCAGTGGTTAAATGGGGATACAGTCGGTATAATTATACAGCAAATGATAGGAAATCAATGGGTATACGGATAACGATTTTGATCATGACTTAGTAAACCTACGGCCGATGGCGCCCCCCCAGTTGTAAGTTGGTATATAAACCATAGTACTATAGATATAACATGATATAACCACCATAAACCCAACTTATTGAATTTATAAACTAACTTAGCTAACGAACTGGAGTCCCACATTGTATGGTAAATCAACGAACTTCCAATGGCCATCTATACCATAGCTATGTTAAATGACCAGAGGGTAACCCAAGAAGATCATTTTGGCTGCTGTTGCGATTGCTCTTCCAATTGCTCAGCCATGTTTGCTATATCTATAGTGGTTATATCATGTTATGCTTTATGGTGGTCATAATACTTATATCATTTAGCTAAGATAAGTTACCCTCTGGTAAATTAACAGTTCGACCCTGGCAGTTGTCGGGGTTGGAAGATTCGTTTCCACTATAAAACTAGGCTATTTTCAGGGTCGAACTGTTAATTTACCAGGGGGGTTATCACCATTCATCACCATTGAACACCATAAATTATCATTATCAACCACTATTCATCATTAAAAATCACCATTGAACACCATTAAAATTATCAACCACTTAATTTACCAGGGGGGATTCCAGTTCAAAGATCTCTCACAATCCCCAGTTGACCTGGGGTTTTCGGACTACTGGGTTTCCCCACCGTTGTTTGAGACAGAGCGCGAGCGTTTTGGGGCTGCATCACATAGCTCGGCGAGCTCACATAGCTCGGGGTGCCCGTGTAGGTCACACCTGGAGGATGCTTTGGCGACCTGAAAAGAAACCATGCTTTAGGGCCTTGGATCCATGAATGTGGATGGGCCCCTTATAATGCCAATCCATGTTTGTCTATGTTGTCTATGTTTATCGATGTTTATCCATGTTTGTCTATGTTTATCGATGTTTATCCATGTTTATCTATGTTTATCGATGTGTATCCATGTTTGTCTATGTTTATCTATGTTTATCCATGTTTATCTATGTTTGTCTATGTTTATCTATGTTTATCCATGTTTATCTATGTTTATCGATGTTTATCCATGTTTGTCTATGTCTATCGATGTTTGTCCATGTGTGTCTATGTTTATCTATGTTTATCTATGTTTATCCATGTTTGTCTATGTTTGTCTATGTTCATCTATGTTTATCTATGTTTATCCATGGTTGTCTATGTTTGTCTATGTGTTTATCTATGTTTATCGATGTTTATCCATGTTTGTCTATGTTTATCTATGTTTATCCATGTTTATCTATGTTTATCGATGTTTATCCATGTTTGTCTATGTTTATCGATGTTTGTCCATGTGTGTCTATGTTTATCTATGTTTATCCATGTTTATCTATGTTTATCGATGTGTATCCATGTTTGTCTATGTTTATCTATGTTTATCCATGTTTATCCATATGTTTGTCTATGTTTATCTATGTTTATCCATGTTTATCTATGTGTGTTTGTGTTGGTCTATGTTTATCTATGTTCATCTATGTTTATCTATGTTTGTCTATGTTTGTCTATGTTTATGTTTGTCTATGTTTATCTATGTTTATCTATGTTTATCATGTTTGTCTATGTTTGTCTATGTTCATCTATGTTTATCTATGTTTATCCATGTTTGTCTATGTTTGTCTATGTGTTTATCTATGTTTATCTATGTTTATCCATGTTTGTCTATGTTTATCTATGTTTATCTATGTTTATCCATGTTTGTCTATGTTTATCTATGTTTATCTATGTTTATCCATGTTTGTCGATGTTTATCTATGTTTATCTATGTTAATCTATGTTTATCTATGTTTATCTATGTTTATCTATGTTTATCCATGTTTATCCATGTTTCTCTATGTTTATCCATGTTTATGCCTGCGGACCGAAAACCGTTCCCGTAAAACGCACGTTTTTGAATATCGCGATTGTGGGGTGGGGTGGGGTGGGGGGGCATGTTAACGTTCCTTGTACTTCGTACATGATATATTGCCATGCTGCTAAGATCTCTGGGATCGTTTACTACGTGACATGTTGCTACGCTGCTGAGATCTCTGGGATCGTTTACTGCGTTGCAGCGATGACGCTGAAAAGCCAAAAAACGCGCCCCAAGTTTTTCCAGGATTTCCAATCATCAAATCAGCACGGCACTGTGGTAAAATCACCATTTTTTTTAGAAAACATGCGTTTTATCGGAACGGTTTCCGGTCCGGCGGGATGTTTATCTATGTGTGTTTGTGTTGGTCTATGTTTATCTATGTTTATCTATGTCTATCTATGTTTGTCTATGTTTGTCTATGTTTATCTATGTTTATCTATGTTTATCCGTCTTTGGTATTATATGGAGGTTTCTTGAAATGGCGATACCCCCAAATCAGCCATTGTAGATTGGAATTTTCCGTAGCATCCAGCTATTGGGGTACCCCCATTGTAAGAAACCCCCATATAGATACTGGGGGGTTAGACACTTAAGAAACATCAGGAGACATATTCTGGTGGTGATGGCCACTCTTTGTTGGCCCACATGGCACTGGTGGCTGGTGGAATCCCCCAAGGTCTCCTGGGGATACCTGCCAGTTTCAGACAAACCCCAGATTGATCATCGTGTTGCTTGGAAATCCCTCTCATGATTGCCATTGTGAATAATAGTAATAATAACAACGATAAAAACAATCATCGTCATCAATATTATTATCATTGTTATTAGTACCATCATCATTATCATCTATATTTACTATCCAAAAGAATATGAATCATGATTAATATCATGACGAGTTTTACGTGGTATACCCGGCCAGTTATAAACGTTTACACTTCGCTATTGACAATTGCCATGACGAGTTCCTGGTGATTTTCCCCCGTTCGCTCACCTCCCGGAGCCCTGCTGCTGGTGGTGCTGTGGAAGCCTCGGGTTTTCAGGTGACGGGTGGTATGTTCCCATGAGATGATCAAGAGTGATGAAAATTGTGATAGTTACTAATAATAGTGATTAATAGTGATTAGTGGTATTTCACCAGATTATGAGATTACAACCATTAAAAAAAACATAAAATTGGTGATTTGCTCAATATCTGGTCATACTGATAATATTGGTGATATTAATGCTGGTGAAACATTAAAAAAATGTTATATATATATATATTATATATAATAGTGATTTTTATGATCAAGGGTGATTAATGGTGATATACCCTCTGGTAAACATACAAAAAACTATGGAACATCACGATTTTTCGTGAGTAAATCAACGAACTGAATGGCTATGTTCAATAAGTATGTTGACATAACCAGACCAGAGGGTAAGCCTCTGGAAATGTAGGATCTGCGCCAAGAAATGAATATCAGCAACCTTGGGGGTATGGTCCATGATTGTCATAGACTTCTGCACTTTCAGACCCCAAAATGTTCCAAACCACCATGCCGCAGGTCACAGGGAAACCAAACCAGCATGCGATCCAGGTCACTGGACATTCCAAGGGGATTACCCTCTGGTTATGTCAACAGTTTGCTATTGAACATGGCCATAGAAATAGTGAGTTTTCCCATTAAACATGGTGAATTTCCATAGTTATGTAAACGTTTACCAGGGGGTATAACCGGTATAACCAAGCTAACTCTTGGAATACTCAAGGGGAAAATGATGTGTTCCTTTGTGGACCCTCAAACTATGGCAATTTCAGAGAAAATTTCGTCAACCGTAAGATTTGGGGGTAGCCTATGTTCAAACACTGCCATGAAAAAGTGTTATCAGCATTTCCATTGATTAAACCCATTCAAATCACTGTTTGGGTTGGTTGACCATACTCGATGTTCCGTTAAACAAAGCCATTTGTGCCATGAGAAATAGCCCTAAATATACTATTCCATTGCATCCTCACATCAACCATCATGTGTCACTATCCCTATGTTGAATGCTTAAACCCACATCTGATGTTTAAAATCTCATCAACACAACCAACCAACAGTTGGGTAACCATCATTTAAGTCAATTGTACCCTCGGGTGTCATCAAACATGGTTTGCTAGAAAAATCACCATTCGTAGTTCATGTTCCCAGCTATAAACCTCCATTTACAGTTGATTTTCCATATTCTGATGAATAAAATCACCATGAGTCCGACCATTAAATAACCTATCCCCCATGTCAAGTCCAAGAGACTAGCCATTGACACCCTCAGCGGCAGAACGCGGAGAGGCTGTGATGAAGAGAAAATCCAAGCAGCCACAGAAATGGTTGGTGTAAACATTTGATGGTAAATTTTGGAAATACACAACTTGTTGGTAGAAACTGTATGCCCATGGTATGCCATTTGGTTTCCCATAATCCAATCATTTGGTGGTAAATGTTCAATGTGAAAAAGTAAACAAATAACGATACCAGGTATATAAGTGGTAAGTGGTAAACCATCCCCTGCAGATGATTCTGCAGGTTTTTGTTTGTTTCTTGAATTCTGTTGGAAGACACCTGGAGAAACTGGAGAAAGATTCAACATAATTTTGCAAATCCGCGCATGTTTGCCGGTTTTCCATGTGTGCCTTTGTAACTGGCCAGTTAGAATAGTTAGAAACGGTCATGTGGCAGCTCTGCGGTTTTTTCGCAGTGGCTCGGCTCTTGAGCCCCGGTTTCTCCGAACATGGGCTATACCCTCTGGTAATTTAACATAGCGAACTGGAAAATCACCATTTTTAATGGGAAAATCCACTGTATATGGTAATTTTCAATAGCTATGTTAAATTACCAGAGGGTATCGATTTTATGATTGCCATTTTGACAGGGAACACCGAGGATGGGGGTACTCTATTTCCAGACAAATCAATGTTCTGAGAATCAAATCACTCAAATCACTAGTTGTGTAATTGTTTCTCCATCCTTGTTGCAAATGGATTCTTGGTTTGGTACGAAAAACACGATGTCAGCCATGGTTGATTTACTTCAGCAAGTCCAAAATATTCAAACAAAGCCATTGTAATTATATCCCATCCCTCTAATATTGATAGTCCCCAAGAAACCATGGCTGGATCATATCCCAAACTATATCCCCAGTATATATTCTAACTATATATATATATCTAATTATGTTTCTATAATATTCTATATCCGTTCCCATAATAATATTCCTATATTGCCATTATACTATACAGATGTATTCCCTGCCCCATTCTTTTCCATAGAACCAAGAATAATACCACTATATAGTATACCACATCCATTCCCATTATGATATCATATCCATTCCCATACAATGGTACTACAAATATGTTATGGTATCATTCATATCACCATAACATTCTTGGTTTTATCCCCTGCCCCCAGCACCAAGCAGCAATGGATTCATAGGTGCCGGCACCGGCGCCGGCAGCGTCGGCAGCGTCACCGGCGGCAGCACCGGCGGCGTGACGGGCTTGGGGGCCGGGTTCATGAAGCGGGGCGGAGACGCCATGTACCTGGGAGGCTGGCGGGTTCATCCAGTCATAGGAAAGGGATAGAATCTGATTTGATAAATATGACCTGGTTGGTGGTTGAGCCTACCCCTCTGAAAAATATGAGTCAGTTGGGATGATGACATTCTCAACTGTTTCTGGAAAGTCAATCCAAATTCCATGGTTCCAGTTACCACCAACCAGTGACTATTCTTTAGTTATATAGTATAGGCTTATTTTTCTTATATGGAATATCAAAGTAACTAAAGTAATGATATGATATGCGTCTGTCAGAAAAATGCTACAAATTCTACAGCCAATGGACTTTGGGCGGAAGGGACTCAGGATTCACCCGGATTTGTGCACGGGAACTTCAAGTCATCGGTGAACACGGTAAAATATGTGGAGGCTTTCACCAGAAAGTGGGATAGCCAAACGTGAACCTGTTTAACCTGTTTGATTTTTGAAAACTCACCATGATTATCCATTATTCGTTCCAGCAATTTACCGACTTTCCTTAACATTCACAAACAAAACGATGGGCCAACAACATCGCCGAGTCGTCCCAGTCGTTCGTCGCAGTCGTGATCCCAACAGGTGACCCTGTAAAATCTTGGCGTTTGGCACACCGTTCCTGTGATATTATAACCCCAATCAAAAAAGTGGATTAACCCTGCAAAAATCCCATTTATAACTGGGGTGAACTAACCCACTTACGAGCCGTGGGATGAGCCACCAAGTGTGATATTCTTAAATTGATGTCATCAAAATATGTGCATTAAATGTCCAATTTTTCTTTGTGTCGTAAGCCAGACGATATAAACCACATGTGACATTGTTTTCACGGGATCCTCCCACTGCGGGGTCCATGTTCAGCCGCAAAGTTCAGATTCAATCATTTAGTACCATTTCTCATCATAAAAAAAAAACTAAAATTTAGGATACGTCAACTAAATAAGAAAATAATGCTTAACCATTCAGTTGTACTGAATAACTATTCATCACTATTCATCTTAAAATGCCAACATGTCCCAGTTCCAGAATCCTGCCAGGTACTGCTGGAAAACCAACCACTGGGACGAGGCCATTTGGGAATGAGTTTATTGCAGTGCAAATCTCCGCATGGTGATGGTTAGTAATGGTTAGTAGTGGTACTATAATTGGATTAGTCATGGTATAATGTTAATGGTTGATCATGGTATGGTCCGGTATCGCATGATATACGTTATTTGATGGTTAAATCCCAAGTAAGCAAGCAAGTAAGACAGAGTTTGAACGCAGCTGCTCATCTGGCTGCCCTCATTATATCCCATTAATGTATATCCAATTACATCCATCTATATCCCGCACTGTATGTTGTTGCTTATAAATATTCCATTCTATATCCCATTAGATCCTATATATATATATTTATACATATGTTCCCACAGGTCGATGAATATACCCTTTATAGTTCTGTATATCCCTTGTATTTTGTATGTTTTGGTTCTCTTCTAGTTCCTTACGTCGCTCATTTATAAAATCTGTGCGTTTCTTGATCATTTGCTTGATGTGTTTTTCTTTATTCATCGTCTTTGTCATTAAACATTACTCTAGGACTAGCCCAATTATAGTATCATTACTAACCATTACTAACCACTACTAACCATTACTAACCATACCATGATCAACCATTAACATTATACCATTACTAACCCAACATAGTACCATCATTTGAATGGGAAGTTTTTTTTTAAAGAGCACCTGCAGCTCCGAACCGCTGAGTTCAATATCCCTATGATATCCCAATCAAAAAAGCCCATGTTTCATGGGTTTATCCTCTCGTTTGTGTTCATGGGTCGTTCAAATGCATCATTGTCCAAAGCAACAGGTACCCGGCCTGGTAAACGTTTACATAATTATGGAAAGATCCACCATGCTATCAATGGGTAATTCCACGAACTTTCTATGGCCATTTTCAACAGCTACGTTAAATTACCAGAGGTTTCATCCAATTTGCAATGGAAAATCCCCATTTTAGTGGAGGTTTGAGGTCGGGAAATTGATCGAACGCTTCGACTCGGCCATGTTTGATGAAACCGGAGGGTAACCATTTTCGAACATGGGGATGTTTATGTGGATACATTAAGTGGGTTACCCAACTGTTAATTGGTTACGTTAAGTGGGTTTTAACCATCAATCGAACAGTGGATTTAACACAATTTAACCATCAACAAAAAGGGACAGAAATGATAAATGATGGTTGATGGGCCATTCAATGGGGACTAAACTGGCTTAAACATCAATCATAGAAGTTTTTCAGTTTTTCGTGATTCATGATGCCATTTATGCCCTCATTATGAGGAATCAATAATCATTCATCATTAATCAAAAACTAATGGTTAGTTAATAATGGTTGGTACTAGCTAATCGTTAATAATGGTTAGTACTGGTAAATGATTAACTTTTTATTACCCATCATTAATGATAACTCCATCAGCTTTCGCGCCTGGTTGATGACTCCAGGGTCGGCTTTGCAAGGCCCGGTGCGCTCGTAGGGGAGGAGAGGTATGCCCCTCCAAGGACTCCCTGGAACCATGGTGGAACTTATGTAGATGTGATATGTGTGTATATACGTCTTCAGAGAGCCGCCAGTGAAAGTGATATGTATATGTATATGTATATAATAATTATTGGAATTACATATATGTATAAAAGTATATACATTACGTTAAAAAAATAGATAGATAGATAGATAGATAGATAGATAGATAGCTAGATAGCTAGATAGCAAGATAGCAAGATAGCTAGATAGCTAGATAGCTAGATAGATAGATAGATAGAGAGAGAGATATAGAGAGAGATAGAGAGAGATAGAGAGAGATAGAGAGATAGAGATAGAGAAAGGGGACAGAGGCAGACATAGAGATAGAGATAGAGAGACATAGATATAGGTCTAGATATATATATATACAGGGAAATATAGAGATATAGAGATATATAGACATGTAGATATCTAGATATCTAGATTGATAGATTTATAGATTGAGCCGTAGCTATAAGTATAGACAGATAATGATTTAAAGACTGATATAGAGAGAGAGAGAGAGCAAATAGAGCCAAGATGTCCTATTAAAAAAAAAACAATCATGAGATATGTTGGGAGATATGCCAAGTAGCTATAATCTAAGCTTGAAGTTTACGTTTGTGAAGGGTAGTTTGGCGGTGGGTTGTGAAATAAATCATTCGCAAACCAAATCCAGCTGACCCAAAAAGCAAAAGGACATGATGATGATGATGATTATTATTATCATTATTATTATGATGATGATGATGCATGTTCGTCTGAAAGTCACCCTCGCTATTTCTGAACCCATGTTCAACCGCAAACCTAAGATTGACAGCTTTCCTTTCGCTTCATCTTCAGTATACCCTAAAGATAAAAGATACTGTGGATGGAAGAAATCCTGCACCAGTGGATAGATGGTTTATCCCATTATTCATGAGGTTTTAACCATCCTTTTGGTGGTGCAGGATTTCGCAACCATCCACGGTATGGATCCAGATTTGTTGTATTCCAAAATTGTATACTGAGATTACCTGGGTATACTGAGAATATCTGAGTATACTCCAAAGATATAAGATAGTCTAGATTTGTTGTTATTGTTCTTGTTTGAAAGTTCGGAATGCCAGGGCAATCTTGGTCGCTGTTACAGATGGGTAGTTCTTCCAGAACTCGGCGCTGAAAAAGGGACGAAGACAACACCGATGATTAACCATCTGCCCTAGTAAAACGTGTTATTTTGTGGGGCAATCCCCCAACTGCAGACAATCCCAAATATCATAGTATGTTGCGTATATATCCCATAATTGTCATGATATCCCCATATATTCTATTAAATGTACCGAATTATTGCCATACATTTGTTGGTTTCCATTTATTTTCCTAGGATATTAAGTGGGTTTCCACATTAAATCCCTAGTAAGAATGACTTTTGAAAGAAATAAATATATATATATAGGCATGAACTGCTCGGTTTCCCATGGTGAGAATGACACAAACATCTGCGAATTGCAACATGTCTGAAATGTTCATCCAGCTCTGCTGTGGATCGCACCATGGAATTTCCTGCCACTATCTTGATCCCCTCCCACTCAAACGTCTGGTGTTTTCCAGCGAACCGTGTTAGATCACAAAGTACAAGATCGAATCCTCGTTTTTGCTGCTTCAATCCACATGTTTGATGCTTCCACATTTCTCATGTCTATCAGACTTACATCTCCCAAAAAATTGGTGTTGAAACCTCTATTTTTCATGGTCAAATCCCAGGCGGGGGTCAAGTCTTCAGGGTGAAATCCCTGTTTGGTGATTTTGACACGGTTGACCTGGGCTCCCTGGCCGAACGCACTGGTTGAGGAGACGACGCGACGGCTGGCATGGTCAGACTCCCGCCCTGGGTTCCAGTGTTCCAGGGCCAGCGAGGTCAATTCGTTCATCCACTGGGGATCTCACCATCAAGACTTGGCATTTGGGACATCAATGGGTTATAAAAATGCCTAATTATAAATGGGAAAATGCCTATCTTAATGCCTCTAGTTATATCATTAGATGATTTATAAATGGGAAAATCATCTAAGTATAAATGGGACATCAATGGGTTATAAAAAAAAAATTATGGAGTTGACTAATTGAGCCATCAAAGATTGTGATTTTACCAACGCAAACAGTTGTATCATTGGAGATAATGAGGATATCATGAGTAATTACAAGGTGGTGCCCCAGTTCAGATTTATGGTAGATATATCTACAGCCAATATCAGTTGATGGGGGTGAAATCACCCAGTTTCAGCTCTGTGTGGCTATCATTTGCCTTTTTTGACTTGGAGCAACCGTGAAAAAGATTGCTGGTACACATGTAAATATGTTTGGAGACTGTATTTACCAATAGCTCTAATTTCGTAATTTCCGACTCTAAGTTATATGTAGTGGTCAATTACCTTTCTACAGTTGTTGGTAGAAGATATTACTGCAAGCAAGTTGCTGTTATTTGGGGGGGAGTCTATCTTTGTGCATCGGTTTAATCTGTTTGTAATATGTATATATAGTCATATAAGAGATCAAACCTGAACCAGAATATTTGTGTTGATATTCACCCATCTGCGGATGTTATAACTTCGTAGATACATTTGAACATTTTAAAAAGGTGGAAAAAATATATTGAAACGGTTTTTCAAAACAAAACACGTATGACACATGACACAAAAAACAGATTCTCCAAAAACATGGGAAACTTCTTTTCATTTTTTGGGGGGGAGGGGGAACTTCTCTCAACAAAAAAAAACTTGGGAAATCATGCGGACCTCCACAGATTGTCTTCCGCACACAGCAGCCGGGCCTGGACTACGCGGCGGTCCCCAACGTAACTGCCGGGAAGAGCCATGGCGTGGCGATGGCGCTGATGGTGGCCAAGAAAGCACCAGAAATGTTGGAAGTTCTTCAACGAATCATGATATAAAACATAAAAACATAGCTGAATAGGATGAATTCTGAAAATTAGGAAGTCCGTTCAACATGAAAAAATTGAAATGTGTAACCCATCAACAAAGCTTCATCAGAAGCTTCCTTACAGAAGTGGCATTGCGGCGCTTCAAAGCTGGCTGCGAGGCTCGGCCAACGATGGAACTCTTGGAAGTACCATCCTCTCCATTCATTAACCATGTTTAAAGGAAAATACTTCAAGTAAATAGACAATCGTACTATTACTAGTCAGCAATATTCCAATATATTCCAATGGGATTTTCCAGCACTTCAATTTTGATCATCTACAAATGCTATAATACCTGCTGTATAGATACAAAGACTTGACCATGTTTTAGAGGAAAATCATCTTCCAGCTCCAGAAAAAAGATGAGGTCTATGTTAGTTGACATGTTTCAAAAAAAAAACGGCAAGTCTTTCAGCCCAATGTCCTACCAATCCTGAGATGGGCTGTGGTGCAGCCAAACATGGGACAAAAACCCAAGGAAACCCATGATTTAGAACATAATGACATAATGTTCCCTATGAAAACTGCCATGACTGGGGGATACAAAGGGGGCAGTATACCTATGCCAAGTGGAATTCTGCACGACCAATTCCTTGAGAGTTGGAGTCCTGAAAAAAGGCATTTGGTACCTACCCGGACTCATGCCAACGCAGTGGCAGAAATGAATTGCTGTTGACCTAGCACACGTTAGAGCTGAGAATCTCGAGTTGCATGATGATCATCCCATGGTAGCTTCGCTATCTCTGCTTAGGCGGATGACTGCTGCAAAAGGTGGGAGTGCTTTGACTACCTATGCATACACCCCCAAAAATGAAACATCATGACACATGAGACGCAATAAAAACATCGCTTCTTCTGAGTACCAAGAAAAATCTTCAAAAATCCAGTTCTTTTGCTTTCCCAGTCTGTCTATGTCTGTATAGTAGATTCTTACCCTCCGTTACCACAACATCATCATCATCATCATCAAACAAAAACCTCCCAAATGTATGTGTCCACCCATTTCGCCCCTGCACCAGCAGCACGCAACGCGTGCCTCCACGAAACTCAAGGGTCCCTTGTGCACAACCACACCACCTTCATCATGCCAGCCTCATACGCTACCAAGACTGGGGGGGACCACAGTCGTCATGTATCGAGTTCTTCGTCTATGAATGGTGGTGGTTTATGTATCGAGGTTCATCAAATCATCTTTGGTCCATGTAATTATACGTCCAATTTTCTGCCCATCTATCTACTTAATTATCTCTGCATATCTACATCTGTATACATATATATATATACTGTATGTATATATATACACACACGACATGTCAAAATTGCAAACGATGATATCACCAGCATATAAACAACAGAAACGGATGTATTGCCAATGATATGTAGCCACATTTAAGAATGGCGGATACATCCTCTGCTACAAAGACAATGGCACATTCAGTTTGACCAAACATGGATTCAAACTCAACGTAAGTGGAAGTTAAACCAGCAAGTATCGCTCTGACCCCAAAAAAGAGGCATCAAAAAAGACAAAACATGGCTTCAAGCTGAAACATGCATCTTGAGCAAATAAGAGAACTGTGTTTGCCATGATATATCACATTATGTATAATATATATATACACCCTCTGGTTATTTAACATAGCCATGGAAGCCATGGCCCATAGATATGTCGATGCCAGAATGATGCTGGGTGCCCAATTGATGTACATCATCCAACCATAAAGGGAAATATACTATGTCATCAATGTATGGTATACAATTTATATATATATATACAGTATTGTACAGTATATATGTCCGGAAATATCCTATATACATTGTATACCATATCCGGCTTAAATTTAACCATTGATATACATTCTGTCGCGGGACGCGGGACGTTGCTAAATTATGCATCTTAAGTTAGATTATCCCCATGATATCCAAATGGAATCCGCATCATTGTCACATTATATCCAATGACAGCAACATGTTTGCTGGTTAAATCCCGAATTGTGATATAAAAGATCAAAAATCCCGATGAGGTCAGTCCACATGCTTGATATTTATATAATGATGTTGAATCATATCACATTCAAATCCACATGTTCCAAATATCCAGATCCGAAGAAATGGGATTTTAATGGGATGTTATCCATGTTAATGGGATTTTAATGGGATTTTAATGGGATGTTAATGGGATTTTAATGGGATTTTAATGGGATTTTAATGGGATGTTATCCATTTTCCATTATGCTCCCAATTTTCCAAGATCAATTGTTCCTTTTGATGCCCGAAAATAACCAGCTATTTCCCAACCCCATCCAATGCGTCTCCTTCGGGCAGCGCCAGCGGTAGCAAGGGCTTGTCGACCGCATCATCATCGGAGAACTGGAAATCTGTCCTCCCAGTGCGAGTTGGGCCATGGTTTTCAGGGAACATGATGGGAGTTGGGGTATTTTCATGGTGAAATCCCCACAAAGATGGGAAAATGATGGGATTTGGGTATTCTGATTGAGATTTCCCCATGAACAATTGGGAAAATTGAGATTTTAAGCAACACAGAATTGGATCTGAATGAAAATGGCATTTAGGCAACAACAAATGGATGCTTACATGATTTAGGCAACAAACATGGTGGTATAGTGGTATATATTGTGATATATTGTGGATATATAATGGGGTGAACATAAAGGTAAAATACCGAAACAAAGAGATAAAATTACAAAGTGTCCCTCAAAAGCGGCTTTAATTTCCCTGTGATTGGCTGGAGCAACTCTGACAATAAGGATATCAACTTTGACAAATGCGGATCATGTGGATGTCAAACCTGCAAAAATGTGATGTCAAACCCAGCAAAACATGGGTATGTCTGAAAATGGGGTATACCCCCAATTATAGCCATTTAGTAGGGATAATGATCATTAACCATTGGGTTTAGGGGTACACTATTTTCAGACAAACCCACATGGAAATTTATTTTAAGAATGCAAGCTGGTGGTTGAGGTATCCCTCATCTTTTGAGACACCCAAATGATTGCGACACCCCATCCACTGCCGCTGTCCCGCGGTTCTCTTCTTCCCAAACAAAGCTGGAGCGAGAACCTTAGAAGAGAAAAGGAGAAATCATTGAAATCGTCCCACCAAAATTCACTGGGTTTTCGGGTTTTTTTTCAGAACCTCAACTGGTTGGTGGTTTCAATCCCTCTGAAAAATGATGGAGTGTGAGTAACAGTTGGGATGATGACATTCCCAATATGTGGAAAGTCATAAAATTCATGTTCCAAACCACCAACCAGTCACAAACATTTGATGGTTAAGTCCAGTGGTGTCCCCCTTACCCCCTTAGGATCCAGCTGGTTGGTGTCACAGCTCTAGGTGTTCGCCCACCTGCGACCCAAGTCCTAAACTGAAACCTGGGCCCACCAAAGAATGGGTTTCTGTTGGTTTACCCTCTGGTAAACGTTTACATAACTATGGAAAATCACCATTTTCAATGTGTAAATCCACTATAAATCACTATTTTCAATAGCTATGTTGAATTACCAGAGAGTATTTGCCTAAATGCTGGATTTATGGCGAATAATTCTATAATCAAATGAGGTTCTAAAACAACCTATATCTGGGGGAGGCCTTCCTAAGTTTCTTGATAGGAAATGGGATGTCCCAGATTGGCGTCCTGCTTTCTTGATGCTCACTCGCAACCCGTAAAAACATGCGACTGGTGTCGACACACCAAAAGAGTAATTGCTTGGTGTCTCATTCAACCAAAAACTGGTTCTACTATGTTCTACTCACAGAAAGCCTGAGATCCCTTAAAATTTCCGTTGGTTTTAAGATCGATTTTTTTTTGGACCCCCCCCCAAAAAAAATGGGAAATTGGCTGTCGGTCGCCTTCCGAACTCCGCAGCGACCTGAATCATCCAT